CTTTTCTTCTCCTCATTAAAATTCTTTTTTTCCACTATGGTTATCTTTTTAAAAACCTTTTGCAGACAAATTGAATGTTCAATGGAATGTATACGCATGCAGATGTACATGTATAAGCGAAAGTGGACTGTATTTATCTCAGTCATTCACAGGATCCAATAAAGCTAAAATCCTCTGTCTCTCCACTAACTCTCAAGCCCACTATATATATGTCTGCGTATATATATATTTACATGTATATGAATAATGGGTTTTTTTTTTGGAACACCAATCTCGCGCCCAAAAGATTCAAGATTATATGACAAATTCATCGTATTTTATCCTTCAATCACACCATTCATACGTATAGATATACGCGTGCATCTCCTTAGTAATTTTAATGAAATGATAGATACGATTGGGACTTTTTTTCAATTAGTTGTATATTCACCAAAAGAATACTCACGACCACCATAAATATACTATTGTCTACCAACCTTAGGGAAACTTGATTTGAACTTTTAGATTAGATTAGAACTGGAGTTAAAATCGTAGTGAGATAATTTGAACATTAAGCTCTAAGCTTACAATCATTTAACTATTATTATTTTCTAAATTATCTCAATCACATGGTCTTGCTTGTTCTACTAAAAATAATGTGTCTAGCTATGTATCTTGCATTCTTTAAATTTACATGTTTATCTACTCGTATACACATCATCATGGACATGATCATATTTGTATATTCTCATATTCTTATATTCACTATTTCTATTGTTTCTCATGTATTTCAAAAAATATCTCAAACACATGGTCCCGTTCTACTAAAAATATTTTGTCTCATTTATTTATTTGATACTACTAGGAAATCCAAACTATGCCTTTTGCTTATACATATTATTTTCTTGGTCACGATGTCTTTTTCTTATAACATTTTTTCTCTTCTTTACTAAAAACACAGTAACACTAACACAAAATGAAAAAAAAAAACAAATTTTGTCAATGCTATATATATAAAGTTATAGCTGTAGAAATTGACTTAAGGGCATAAGGTTTGTATCATGATGGTTGCTTGCCATTATAGATTCACTTTTCATCATTAAGGTTGGGTGAATTAAATATCTCACATTTCTTCGATGATCAATAAAGTTTTTTTTTTTTTGATAACCCAGTGTCCAGACCACACAGTGATCCGACTAGCCCACTGGGCCTAAGCCCGCGTGCCTGAGATTTTTAAGCCTCCACTTAAGGGCCCCCGGAACTGGTGGTCTGGGACGCTGCGCCCCGCAGGTAAATTGCGCAGTGGCCAAGTGGAGATCTAGCAATTGCGCGCTTGCGGGGAATCGATCCCTGGCCTAGACCAACAGGGCAACTCCTCCACAAGTGGCAACCACTAGACCAAGAACACTTGGTTATGATCAATAAAGTTCCAAAAAGGAATTCATTATTTCCCAACTAATCATCTAAATTATCGCTTATCGGCTTATGCATATATAGTCTTAAAAGGCTCCGTACGTACGTGAGTGAGCATAATGCAGTAATATACTATATTTTGAAATCACAGAATTCATTTTCTATTATACCGTTAATTCCTTACTCGTTGCATCATATATAGTTTCAAACTGCAATGGTTCTATTATTATCACTATGTACGTGGTTCGAAGTCTTAAATCAACTTTTTTAAAACTGTGTTGTGTAACTGATGTAGTGGAAGCAACGATAACATCTCAATTAGAATGATATACGTTTTACAAACTCGTCCTGTAAAAAAAAAAAAAAAAAAAAAAAAAAAAAAACTCGTCCTGTAAAGGTTCAATGATCCTAAACATTTTGGAATGTTTATAAGAAAATTAAATAGAATGCAATAATGAAAAGAAATATGTATAGAGGCATGCGTCGTTACATTTCTCTTTTGTTAGTGTTTCTTTGGCCACGCGTGTCTTTTTCGCAACAACAGTATGGTTTGTTTTGCTTTTCACAAATGACGGTTTTACCCCCAACTGAATTTCTATTCTATTACATGAAACGTGATCAAGCAAATTTCAATGTGTATTAGAGAAAATTTCTTTTGTTTAAAGGCTGAGTAAAAGATTTAAAAGGATTACACTTAAAAATGTAGGGTTCTAACTTTAGAATATCTATTATTGAATGTAACATCATTCAGTTTTGGTGGTTTTGTATGAAATGAATTATACTTCAAATTAGTCGAATTCCTTGGTATTCAAAATTTGTTACAGAGTAATCGCATTCAAGTTATTTTTTTGTTTGTATATGAATCAAGAAAAAATTGTTAAATTTGGAAGTACACGAGACGTAAACAAAATAAAGTAGAAAAGAAAGGGTAAATAATTATAAAAGTTTCTACAAGAGAATGATGAAAGAATTGAACATTCTTCAAAAGTAAACAAAGAGGATGAAATAAAGAGAGAAAGAAAACGACTGATGGGAGTGAGGCCATTTATATATGTATAAATATTATTTCAAATGTGATTCATTTTTTAATATTTTTTTTCTTTTCTAAATACCACCGTTTGAATTAAACTTTTTATTAAAAAAAAATACCACCGTTTGTATTCAATTTGACATTTGTTATTATGACACTCTTGGATTTTATTTTTGGTTCAGAATGAAATGATTTGTCATCTAAGTGTTAATATGAAGTTTCATACTTTTTCTTATCTCGTATTACATTATCATATGATTTAAGTATTAATATACTATAAATGATAATCTATAATCCAGAACTCTGGTTTCCTTATCAATAAATTTTACAAAAAAAAAATCTATAATCCAAATGAGCTATTTATTCAAATAAACAGCTCAATTCGTACAATACATGACTACCACAAATTCAACATGCAACATATCTCAACTTACAACAATTTTTCCCTCATGATCTACAAAAAAAAACATGGTTTTATTCGGATTTTTCTTGTCTTAGATCTCAATTTATTCGTTTTGCTTTTGGAATGTAGACAGTTTTTTTTATAACGAAGTAAAACATTTGGCATTTGCTGGGATGGTTGAAAAGAATCAAATTTTGTCAACCTCATCACAAATTGTTTTTTTTTTTTTTTTTGATTTGACACTAATAAAACATATTGCTCAGATGAAGCCAAATTAGATGTCAGTTTTGTCTATAGTTTAAGTAGTCTGATCATCCCCACTAACCAAATCTCTTTTTGGTTGTATGAAAAAGGTTTGATTAATTACTTTCTGTTATTGGTGTAATTGAAAACACTCAAATTAGTTAATAAACCAAAAACACACATTAGAGCAAATTTAATTAACCTGGCCCATGCTTTATTTTGTCTTATGTGTTGTTGGCACATAGATGCTTTAGCTTGAAGTTATGATCATATTTAAAGTGGCAATAATGCAGTATCATTAACCTATAAATTTCCATAAAATTTTCAAAGCTGTTAAGCAGATTAGAGGGTAGAACCAATGAAACAACCAAACAAAATTATTATATCAAAACGTGTAATCATTTTGTTCATGAAAAAATAGATGAGTATTTCCCATGGGATCCTAAATCAACAATACTAATCATTATTTTTTCATTTCAAAATCTTGTCCTTTCCTTTATCTATATTTCCCATTTGAAAATAAAAATAAAAATGTTATGATTGCATGTGGGATTAAAATGGGGAAAAATTGGAGGACAGCCCATTTGCCTATTTACCCTTTTATTTTTTTTTATAATCACAGTCGATTTTTATTCGTGATCTCTTTATGTCTATACCTGTTATATATTGAATGGGTCTTAAACCAATTAATCTGAAAAATCTGGTTCAAGATGTCAGAATGTTAGTGTTTTGCTTTGTCATAGCTGATTGTTGGATGACTATTGAAATGCATACATTTCTTGATTCCTCATTTAGAAAGAAACAAAATCAATATTGAATAGAGCCACTTGAACCTTATTATAGCAAAGGAAGTTTTCCAATGCTGGAAAGAGTGAATGTTGGAGAGCTGTTACTTCCAAGTCTTTTTAACCATGAATGTATATATCCGGTTTGGTATATCAGTCAACTTTTCCGGAAACAACCGGGGCCATAAACCGGATTTTTTATTCTTTAGTCAGCATGTTCAAGATCTTGGAAATCATTTTAGATGGTAGAATGATAAAAAAAATCATGCTAGAAAGAGTGAATGTTGTCTTTAACCATGTATACCCGGTTTGGTATGTTAGTCACCTTCCCGGAAACAACCGCCATAAACCGGATTCTTGATTATGAGAATCAAAAAAAAAAATTCATTGCTTTGACGGTTTCCGGAAATTTCTGCTTCATCGAAGTCTTTTTCGTTTTTATTTTTGAATCTGGTTGATGAATTGCTTTTTCAAGTCTTTTTAAGTTTTATTTTTGAGATACATAGAGAATAAAAATACTTAGAAATAGTTTTTGATGAATTGTTCTATGCATACTAGGGTTTTGAGGGACAAAAATATAAAGGATACTCATAGGGTTTGCTAAGGTCAAGCCTATTGTCGCTCCAGTTGATTTTTATCATCAGAGCTACTGAGCTTTGCGACTGCTAATAAGATTCAAGCCTATTGCAAATTTGAATGGACCTTTTTTTTTGTCAACAATTTGAATGGACTTTATAATGTACAATTTTAAGGGTACATTGGGTTTGTTGATTTGCAGTTGCATAAGTAGATGGCTGATGACTGTTCTGATCTGGTGAAGATGGTGTCTTCTCCAACCGAATGGCCGGCGTTTTCAGTGTATTTGGAGGAGTTTCAGAGCGACAAGGAAGAATTTTCAACCTTTTCTTTATCATTAATTTCTCGCAGTACTAATGTAAAAGCGGATAATCTGGCACGAAAAATTCGTACAGAACCGCTTCATGTCACTTATGTAAACAACATTCCACAGGAATGGCTCTTCTGAGCACTATTTAATTTCGGATGACAAAAAAAAAAAAAAAAAAGTAGATGGCTGATTTAGAAAAACGTAAAAGTATGGGGTCTAAAAGAAGAAATAACGCAAATAAGAAATAAATACTATTCCATTATTACTAAGAACCGTTTCCTTCTTCCACAGCAAGAAAAGTTCAACCAAATGGGAATTAGCGGCGTCGGCGGCGACGAGAACGGCGGCGCAGAGGAGCTGGAGATTTTCGGAAAAGCTGATACTGTTACAGTAAACAATAAACCACATATGTCTCCGTCAATTTCTTCGTCCTCTACATCGGCGAGTGTCATCGTCGCCGTTTCATCATCTGAGTCAGTAATTGATCCGGTGAAGATGAGTTATGAATCGAACGGTGAGGAGGAGGAAGAGTTTGAATGGGTGGCTGTAGATAAAGAGATTGATCTTATTACGGATAAAGCTCCGGAACTTGACGAAGTTGACGACGCTTTCTCTGCACTTCAATTGTGAGTTTTCCTAAGTCGTTTTTGCGAGAATTTGAAAGTCAAAAAAGGCTTTGGTATTGAAAGAACTCGTCGTTTCTTTTAGGATGTTCAATGATGATGATGAAGTTTCAGAGTCGGAGTTTGTGGATTGGATTGAGCCTCCTTTGCAGCTCTGCAACACTAGACTTCTACAGCCTTATATGCTTGACAGACTCTACGACGCCTTTCATGTGTTTCAGACCGATCCATCTGTTCAGGTTCTCTGTTTTCTCGCTGTCTTGAGGTCCATGGTTTGAGAATCATGTAACTGATGCAGACATTGGTGTCTAATGTTGCAGAGAATGGTTATGTCCTTGACTTCGGACAAGGCTGTTTGGGATGCGGTGATGAGTAATGAGGTTGTCCGGGAGCTTATAAGCAACGGTAAGAATGAATATAAGATACAATGGGCTCTGGTTCTAAACGATGATTATGTGAGAGTTTTCCTTGATATATAATGCAGCTGAGAGGTCAGAAGAAGACTCTGGTTCAGCCGCAAATTGCTTAAGAAGGTTGTTTGAGAGAAGTGCTGTCAAAATCATGGACGCAATGGAGAGAGTCACAAAGTACGTAACTGACCTCTTCAATGTTGTTCCTGGAGATGAGACTGTTGTGTTAGCTTCAGGTGCTGCGCCTGTGATGGAGAAGCTTCAGATGACTGTTCTGGTCGCCATTGTTGTCCTGCTTATCGTGTTAGTTACACGAGTAACGAGAGGTAGATAGTATAAAATAACCAGCCAAACTATGATCTCACATTTCAGGTCTGCTTTACAATTGTAATTGTGACCTCTGCGGCTGAAATCACAGCAGAAAACTGTAATACTTGTGCTTACTCTTGTATAATAAGAATATAGTGATTGTAATCACTATAAATATATAAATGTCATTTTAAACATTAAGCCCAACTTCTCCAAAGCAAGAGTGTACCAAACACACTAAATCACATTCTGTTTTGGAACTACACCGAATCAGTTTTGATCAAATACCCCTTTTAGTATCGTCACAAATTACTATTCATCAGCGTAAACTTTAGATAAACGAGTGATTAAACCACAACACCTTAAAGTTTCTTTTGGAGAGAAATGAAAGTGAGGACTCTGTTTTATGTACAGTGCAGAGCCATCCAGCCATCCATGAGACCAGTGATTGCTTCCCGGATTCACAAGCACATACTTGTTTAAATCTAGTAAAGCACCAAAAGCAAAAGTGTGTCCAAATTTAAGAGAAAAGCTTTACCAATTAATTGTGTATACAAAGATAATAGACAGTGAGAAGGGGATCTCACCTGGTATTAGGTGCTTGAGCTACCGAGATCAAAGTCCATTGTGTAATCATACTCAATTGTTGGAATAACTGATGCCATGAACTTCAAGAACAGGAAGAGGTACCTGGCAAAATAGCAATGGTGTAACCAAGCAAGCCCAATGAACTATAAGCATTATTTGCAATAAAAACACATACTTGTCAACTTCAGGCTCTACTCCACGTGACATTAACACATCAATGATTTTCTTCATAACAGCTCCATGCCGACATGGATGAACTGAAGCATGTTTACCAGGCAAGTGTGGATGATCTTCGATTGTGACCTGTGCATTTTTTTAAAGAGGATCACAACAATATTCTGCATTGGTCAGATTCAGTAGACATAAGTCGGAAAACTTTGGTGGAATAACAAAAAAGTCATTTAATGCAGTTGAGATCGCCTTCTTTTTACCGTTTTACGAGCATGGTCTTGGCTAACATCCTCCATTACAAGTTCAGGTTGCAGCAGCATCCTTGACTACAAGATACATAATAGCTTCTACGTTAAATAACAGGAAATATAAACGCACAACAAAAATCCAAGAATTTTAGGATGAAAAGAAAACAAAAACGAAACAAGTATGAACGAGATGCAAACCTCATCATAACCGGTCAGCCAAACACGAGGAGTTTGGTAATACTTATCATACCTGAACCAAAGTGAATAATTATAAGTTTGCCTACTACTAAGCCAAAAGTATGAAAGCTGTAACTAAAAGTCAAAATGCAGCACTAAAATATGAAAGAAATGCCGGATGCTTACGTTATGCTTAGATCATATGTCCGAGTTCGGAGAATGTTATCGTCATCAGGTTCATGAGCCACAAGATAAGTTGACTGAAGAGTTGCCTGAGTCAAGGAAGAATAAAAAATTTTAAACTACTAGTAGAACACAAAACTCGGAAAATGGAAATATGCTTCAAAGGAAAATACACATACAGCCAAATCATAACCCTTTAAAAACTTTTGGAACTTGCAAATTCATGTGCTTCAGAAGCATTTTTCAAAGAGCAATAACAAAAAGCTGAGTGCAACTGCAAAGAAAAATGGGATAGTGATAGAGTAAAGAAAAAAAACTCACCGGATCATTTTCTACCACATTGTCAGCCTCATCAAACTCCTCCATGTCTGGAATATCATCATCCTCCTCACCTCCAAAATACGTAGGTATTGATTGGATAGTATTTTTCTCGTTTATGTCCAAGGCATCCATGGATGGCAAGTTTTCATCTTCGTTGCCTTTATCTATGGCAAAAATCGAGACACAAGTTGAATAAGAGAAAAAGTGAATTTCCAGAGGCACAAATCTCTCAATACAAAATGTACCTTTCGGTTTCCCATGTGTCGCCAGCCAACCATCATTATCTTCATCATCAACCAACACTTCACCTCCAGCAGCTTCATAATCCTCTGCCACAGATGCAGCTCTCCGTAGACAAGGTACTGTCAAACCATAAAAAGTCAACAACATAATGCGCAATCAGAACTACAAAGCCAACAGAAATCAGTTCTAAAGATCCCAAATTTACCATTTCTAGTAATCAAAAACTGTTTGTCCGAGGGCAAGTATGGCTTCCTTTTGCTTGGGTCACCAGATTCCCTAATCAAAAGTAAAAGCCATTGTGTCAATCTTACCCATTCAAGCATGCTTGAACTAGAAGTCATATACTAAAGCGTAAAGACCAATATGTTATAGACATAAAGTTTTGAGCAGTAAGATATAAAAGTTTGATATACATAGCTACCCAGGAAAACTTATTGGTCCAATAAACTAATCAAACATCAGAAAAAACTACTAAAAAAACAACATTCAAGGAAGTTGTAACCAGAAAAGCCACAATTTGATGATTGATTTGATCCCATCAAAATCTCACATAATTTGTATAAAAGTCAATTAACTTTTGGCCAACACAGAGAGACCCATTGATCCATATTCGTCAACGATCAATTTCACATATCATAGGTGTCACAAAATTCACAAACTCAAATTGTAAAATTGGCCACTGTATATTCAAATTCTCCAATAAAAACTCGAAATTCAAACTAACCAGGACCAGGTGGGACACTTGGAGACGAGATTATCTCCGGCGAGTACGAACTCGCTGACGCTGAGAACTCCCTTCTCCTTAAACGCCGAGATCGTACGAGGCCCTGTGATCCTCTCAACTGTACCTTTAAATGCTTCATGAAGCTTTTGCGAAAGCACCATCTTTTGAGCTAGCGATGAATTAGGATCTAATCAGTGGTTTATATCGAGGAAGAATTTATCGTAATCGAAAAATTTTTCTAATCGGAGATTCGAGATTGCGAGCCCTAAGCAGATTTATAGATTCCGTCAAATTTGAGGAGATGATATGCCTCTTTGTAATATTTTAAGAAAAATCTAGAGTAGTCCTCATACTTCTGCATATTTACGTTTTTACCCCATCTATTTTATTCGTTTCATTACGGGTCCTTTTTCTTTGACATTTCAAGGATAATCATAAATGTATTCTCAAATTGTCATTCAGGTCCAAAAGGTACATTTAGTATTTTTCCATCACAAAGGAATCTCATTTCCCTTATTGAAAGAGATACTAACATCATTGTATATGTTTTCAAGGCAAGAGCACAACGGAGCCAGAGGTGATCCTATTCTCAAGATCTGCGTGGGCATCAGCGACTCGAGACAACGGGTACTTGTGATTCACACGAGCCTTTAAGATGCCGGATGTAACATTGGCGAAAACCTCTCCTGCACATTCCAAGAGCTCGTCCCGAGTTTCATTGTATTGCATCATGGAAGGTCTTGTCAAGAAGAGAGATTTTGGAGCAAGATCAGATAATGGAATCGGATCTGGAGATCCCGAGGATTGTCCAAAGCTCACCATGTATCCCCGGCTCTTTAAACATGCTAATGATCCCTGGAAATTTATAAGAATTTCTCATTACCTGCTATAGAACATAAACAGTCTGGCTCTTTGTGACATTTACCTTAAAGGTGTCTTTTCCCACAGAGTCATAAACAACATTGACTCCTTTACCCGATGTAATGTCATTGACCCGGGAAACGAAATCCTCGTTCTTGTACATAATAACATGGTGACATCCATCTTCTTTGGCTTGAGCTGCTTTCTCATTGGTCGAGACAGTTCCAATGACAGTAGCTCCAAGCGCATTTGCCCACTGACACAACAGAGACCCAACTCCACCAGCTGCAGCATGAACAAGGATTGTGTGCCCACGTTCGACCTTTCCAAAGACAAATAGGACTTGAGTCATATAGTGAAGCGATCTTTGAAACACAATTATATAATAAAACTCTATTCTGTTCAATGGGAAAAAGACACAAATCCGGCTTTTGGTCTTCTGCCTATAACTTTTCAGAGAACAGGTAAAGATGAAAACTAACCTTGAAGCAACGGCGAAGGAGAAACTGTGCAGTCATACCCTTGAGCATGATTGATGCTGCAACGATAGGATCAATAGATGAAGGAACAGGAACCACTTTATCCGCTGGAAGGATTTGTTCCTCAGCATACGCACCCATCGGATTTCCAGCGTAAGCAACGAGATCACCGATCATTCTGCCAGTCAATCCCGACCCAACAGCTACCACCTCTCCAACAGCCTCCATACCTATGATCAGAAATAGCACATCAGTTCAGAAACAAAAAAAAAAAAAATCCTTTTCCTTTCTCTCATTAGGTTCTCGAAATGTCCATTACCTGGTGTGAAGGGCATTGAAGCTGGCTTGTAAACACCTTTCCTGAAGTAAACATCAATGAAGTTAAGCCCGATCGCCTTATTCTTTACTCGTATCTCACCCTCCTTTGGTTCCCCAACTTCCACATCTTCCCATTTCAGAACCTTCCAATCAAAGAAACAAAACCGCTATAAAATACTGAAAAATACAGATCAACAGAATGCGAGAAACGATCACAAGTTTCTAAATCAAAGATAGCATAATATACTTTCAAAGCAGTGTCTACACAACCCTGAATCTTACAAGTAACCAAAACTACGTTTAAAATACACATGAGTGATTCAGTAAATAACCATCAATTTCGACTCAAGCTCAAATCCAAAACCTTTCACCTGGAAACTACCCATTGCAAAAAGCTGAAGCTTATAGGTAATCTCAATCATTTGAATTCTAATATCATAGAAGCATATAAAGACACACACAATCGCAATCTAATTTGATTTCAGTGATCCAAATCCGACCCGGAACTTCAAAATGGAATCTTTACTCACCTCAGGACCGCCATGCTCGTAAACCCTAATCCCTTTCACCATCTTCTTCTTCCCCGGCGTCTCTTCCACCGCGACTGTTGTACTCAGAGCTCTTACAACAAACACAGTGCCGCGTGTAGACAAAGAAAAAATCGAGATATCAGCAGGACTTAGACGAAAGTTGAGATCTTTGACATGATTTCGTGGAAAGCTCGAGAATATTGGGTGATATAGACGACGTGACAGATGTCCAGACGCTTGAAGACACGAGTGTTGATGATGATGAAGAGTCAATGCTGCCATTTTCTTATGGCCCCCATTTCTTCTCTGCCTCCTAACTTTATTTGCTTTTCCCCATATTAGTCCTTTAATTTTCACTATATTACATTATCACTACCCTAGTATTACTATATTTATCAATTTTTGCTTTAGACTTTCCTCAACATAAGTGAAAAAAGGAAACAACACATCAAAGTAAAAAAAAAAGGAAATTACAGAAATCGTTCTTTCACAAACCTAAGTGAAAAAGGAAACTTGAGTTCCAAACATATCAGTTTATAAATAGTCTCGCACCTTCTCTCTTTGTTTCTCTATATTATTGTTTTTGCATCATCACAAAACAGAGAAACACAAAGAGAGATAGAGAGTTATAGAGTCAGACGATTGCAATTACATGCGCAATTGCTCTGACTTTTTACGAATCTCTTCTTCGACTCCTGTTACTTTGCTTCTAATTTATCTTTGAGTTCTTCAAATCTCATGATTTTACCTACAAAAATCTATGGCTCCAACTTGTTTCCTAGGCATGATGGAAGATGATGGATGCTCTGAATCTGTTTCGCCCTTCGTCCCTCGATAATGGAGTAACGATAACTTCTTTCAGTCTCCGTCGTCTGAGGTTTTGTTTGAATTTTTCCAAGGACCGGAGATGAAAGAAGTTTTTGCGTACGGTGGTGGACAAGGGAGTTGGATTGGAGTCTCATTTAAGCCAACAAAAAGCAAAAGGTTTTTTTCAGCCCATATATAAATCTCACAAGTCCATGAAGAAATTGAGGTCTATTTTTCTATCCCATCTTTTTTTTTCCGTCACTAGTGATTCCACAAATTTATTTGTTTTTGCATCATTATATAGATTTAATATTCAAATTTTAAAATCCTAAGTTTTAATATTTTTTTTTCGGATATTAACTTTTTCCGTTTTTTTAATACTAAATTACATGATGATACATAAAAACTAACCGGATTTTGGATCCTGTCATTTGACCTACTCATTTGGTCGTTAGAGATTCCACTAATTCAATTTATTTTCGTATCATTATTTAGATTTAGTATTCAAGTTTTTAACTCGAATTCTTCAAATTGTTTTTAAAATAGTGATTTTTTCTTTGGGTTTTAAAAAGTTTTTTTTTTTAATACTAAATTTACATGATGATACTTGAAAACTAACCGGATTTTGGATCCCGTCATCTGACCTAGTCATTTGGTCATTAGAGATTCCACAAATTCAATTTCTTTTCGTATCATTATGTATATTTAGTATTCATGTTTTTAATTCGAATAAGTTGTTTTTAAAATAGTGATTTTTTGTTTGGGTTTTAAAAAGCTTTTGTTTGTTTTTTGTTTTTTTTTGTTTAAATACTAAATTAACATGATGATACATGGAAACTAACCGAATTTTGGATCATGTCATTTGACCTAGTCATTTGGTCATTAGAGATTCTACAAATTCAATTTGTTTTCGCATCATTATGTAGATTTAGTATTCAAGTTTTTTATTCGAATTCTAAAAATTGTTTTTTAGAATAGTGATTTTTTTTGTTCGCGTTTTAAAAGGTTTTTGTTTGTTTTTTGTTTTTCTAATATTAAACTTACATGATGATATATGAAAACTAACCGGATTTTGGATCCTGTTAGTTGATATAGTCATTTAGTCATTAGAGATTCCACAAATTCAATTTGTTTTCGCAAATGTAGATTTAGTATCCAAGTTTTTAATTCGAATTCTTAAACTGTTTTTAAAATAGTGATTTTTTCTTCGGGTTTTGAAAAGTTTTTGTTTGTTTTTTTTTTATATGAAATATATTATCACATGAAAACCTACCGAATTTTGGATCCTGTCATTTGATCTAGTCATTTATATAATTTGTTGGCGAAAGTATCGATGTAGCAATTCAATCAGTTTTCAACGGCTAAGAAGACCCAAGTATGGTGGTTTATTGGATATCACGCTTGCTCGTCATTTTCCTCCAAAACCAATGCTTCTCCCAAAGTCCAGCCACCTTCTCGATCGGAACATTCTTAGTCTCCGGCAAAAACAGCTGCACTGCCACCGTCATCACCACCAACCACCCTCCATAAAAGAAGAAAATCCCAGCTCGAAACTTACACAACATCGGTGGTACACTTTGAGCTACCGCAAAAGTAAACACAAAACTCACTGCTACCGTCACACTCTGCGCCACCGATCTTATCTCCAACGGAAAAATCTCACTCGGTACAAGCCATCCTAATGGACCCCACGACCAACCAAACCCCGCCACGTAGACACACACCAAAACCACAACCGCGTAACCATACCTTTCCTCGATCCCACCGTCGTTGACGTCAGCCACCATAATGATCACACCGATGGTAACTTGCGACACAAGCATCTGAAACCCTCCAATCAAAAACAGAGTCTTTCTACCGATTCTGTCTACAACAAGCATCGACAAGAACGTCGACGTGGTTCCCACGATTCCGGTCACGAGCGTGGACATTAACGAACCACTCTCTCCGAACCCAACGGTTCTATACAAAACCGGTGCATAGAAAGCAACAACATTGATTCCAGTAACTTGCTGAAAGAAAGGTATCGCCAAAGCCATCACTAACTCAGGCCTATATTTTCTTTGAAGCAGTTTCACAAACGCGTTTGAATCTGTATCAGAACGAGAACTCGCTTCAACGAGATCAGTAAGCTCATCTTGAACGTCGTTAGTTCCACGGACACGGCAAAGCATAAGCTCGGTCTTGTGAACATCTCCGGTGGTCTGGATGATACTGTTTGGCGTTTCCGGGAGAAATAGTGAGCCTAAAGTGAGTATTGAAGCCGGAATTGCGGCTGTGGCTAATGAGATTTTCCAACCGTGTTTGATCTTTTGGGTTTCGTAGTTTATTATGTTTGCAGATAGAAATCCAATTCCGATACAGAGCTGGAAACCATTGCTGATTGCTCCTCTGTATTTTGCCGGCGCCATCTCGGAGAGATACAGAGGAACCGACTAAAATATTTAAAAAACGAACCAATCGTGAAACATTTAATTTGATCCCTCCAAAACTTTAAACCCTAATAATCATGACGAGAGAAAACTGAATCATCATTAATCAACTTGTCTTTTGTTACCTGATTAGCGAATCCAACTCCTACGCCAAGCAAGAGACGTGCAATGATGAGCATAGCAACGTTTTGAGCAGAGCCACCAAGAACAGAGCCGGCGAGAAAGGCCACGCCACCAAGAAATATAGAGGGCTTGCGACCCCAAGAACGAGTCACTGATGAAGCTAACAGAGTAGCGATGAAGCCAGAAACGTATAGAGAAGATGTGAAGGACGTAAGAAGTTGGCTATTGAAAAGACAATAATGGTTATTAATGTTTCTTCTTCTTCTATCTTCTTCTTGGAGCTTATACACTTTTGGGAAAAATCTTTTCAGAAATGGCCCCATTGACATCACTCCACCTACATATATCATTACATGGTTTGCAAATTAAATTTTATTAAAATTGAAATGTTTCCACTTCAAATATGTGGTTTTTTTCTTATAAACACAAACATAACACAAAACTTGGGTTCGAAAACAATCAAAATTTATTAATGGTTATGTATCAAACCTGAAACCCCGATGTCGTAGCCAAATAGGACACCTCCCATGGCGGCCATGACACATGAAGCCACCACAAAAAACGTTATCTTCCCGCCAGATTCTGATTTAGCCATGGCTTCTTTTCTTGCTTCTTCTTCTACCATGTTTACCTATAGAGACACTCCAAACACAACGGAAGTAAATAAAATTCAAGTTCGCTTGGTGTTTTTAGATCATATATTTTTGTATATCAATCATCCAAAGGTGGAGTTTCAAGGTAGACAAAACTTGTTGGACCATTGGAGTGTTTTAATTGACTTGAGTGTGGGACTTATAGTTTTTGTTTCTTTCGGTTTTGGCTGATGAGATATCGAAAGTGGACCATAAAAGACATGTGAAGAAAGACTTTTCTATCGCGTAGACAAGTCAATACTTCTAATTTTCCCTTTGCCTACCTTCATAATCCTTTTTTTTTTCTTTTCTTTCTTGTTTTATTTGAAAAATATAGAAGAAAGTGATGGTTATCTTTATCTAATTGGACCTACCAAGTTGCAAACTTTGATTGTTTAATTCCATAATAGTGATATTGTGTTTTGCAATTTGACTATGTAGAACAACTATCATTTTTATGTTATGTGGAATTAAGTTGGCAGATTAATTAGTTATTATTATCAATCATGTAAATTTATAAATCATTTTTACATTCACTTTTTTTTTGTGATTTAATTTTTGTTTCACTACATGGCCTTAAAAACTTAAAAATTAAGGGGATAAATTGACAAATTAGAAAGTTTGAGTCACAATCGAGATACTAAAAGAAGATGAAGGAGAAGTAAATAATTTCAAGTCATCATCATGGTTAAAAAGAAAAACATATTACACGTGGCACCAACAGAGCATTTGTTACCGTCACCCGCCTGTGACGGAGAGAATCTCTGTAATTTGCAAAGGAGAAGACTTTCCTATTGAAAATTCAAAGCCGGTTTTTTTTTTTTTTCCTAAACAGCAATAAAAAAAAATTCTCTGCTCCAGGGGAAATTAAAAAGGTGGAACCTTTTCTTCTCCTGGAGCGATCAATTCCTTTTTCATCATATTGCTGACTCTTATCGTCGTCTTTGATCGTATCGAAGAATTGGGTTTAGTTCGATTCGATCATCAGCTATCTCAAATTTTCTGGGGGATTTTTCTAAAGGTTTGATGATTGGATTGCTTTGTTCTTTTTGATTTTCGTTTGATTGATTAGAGATTATAGGTTAGGTTTTGTGTTCCTTAAAAAGTTATCTCCTTTTGGCAGTTAAAGACTTGGTTTTTATAGTTTCTCAAGAAATTCATTTCATGGTTGACGATGAAGTCAAGGTTTTAGTTTTCTGTAGTACAAACAAAGATGAAATGGAGTCTACGTTTTTTTTTTCTTCTAAATGTTTTTTCATGATTTGGATTGAAATTGATTACAACGGATGATACCGTTTATGAGTTTGTGTCATAATTTGTTAAGAATATTGAGTATATATCTTCCCATTTGTTTCTTGATGCAAACAGGTTTCCATTGATTTGTTTGAAGTGCTTGGTATTGGATAATGCCTTCTCTCATCTCACAGCAATGGCAGGAGAGGACTAGTGGATTCTTTTCTTCATCAGGTTAGATAATTTCTATACTATAACCTCTTTTTTGTTTCTCTCTGTTGAGTGTTTGTGGTGGAAGGCTTAGTATGGATTTAATGAAATAGGAACGAAGCTTAGGGAAGCTGGGCAGACAGCTGGTAGTTTTGTCGGGGAAGTCGCTAAGGATGCGAAAGTGAATGTTGCTGATGTTGCAGAAAGAGTTGGCTCGTTGTTTAAAAGCCGGTGGGCAATTCTTCAGCAGCCTGCAACTAGACATGCCGTGCAAGAACACCTCATAACAGCTGCTGCCACAACTGGGACCTTGGTCAGGAAGGGTATAACTGAGACAAAGGAAAAGGTCTCCGTTGGAAAGACCAAAGTGGAAGAGGTATAGCTTCTTGAATTGGCTTGACAAGAATATATGTCACTTCATTTTATAACTTCTGACACCTAAATTCTTTGATCTTTGTTTTCTCTTTAGGCAGCCAAAAAGACTGCACAAAAGAGCAAGACCATTTTGACGGACATCGAAAGGTGGCAGAAGGTACTTGAATCTGAAATCTGATTGTATGCCGTTGATTTGAAGTTTGGTCTCTAATATCTATTCGTTGTAAATCTGCAGGGAGTTGCCAGCTCAGATGGTAAGTTAATCGCAATTTATGGAGAGAATACAGTTTATAAACGTTGGTTAATCGAAAGTTCAATGGATTCTTTGATGGAGGGTTGTGGGCTTACTTAATCCTCTTATTATTCCGTTCTTGAGATATCTATTAGTGATTAAGATTCTGCTCTGCTTGTTTGAAATAGGTAACTTTCTCTATATGACAATTTTTTTTTGGCACTCAGTGTTTGGTGTTGCGATTGAGATCACTGTCCAGCGGCAGGAGTCAAGCAGGCCTATTCCATTGGTACTGATTAAATGCGCAGATTATCTCATATTAACAGGTAGTAATGTTTGGACCAATGGAGCATAACCTTTCTATTGCTCATACCTTTTTATATCGAGTTATCAATGTGATATTTTCCTCTTACCCAGGACTTAATTCACCAAACTTGTTCAAAGCCGAAGGAGACAAAAAGTTGATTCAACAATTGGTTTCTGCTTACAATCAAGGTAGCCAACATTCCAACAAGATTTTTCTCGACTCTTATAGCTGAATTGTAATTTGATTGAATCACTTGTTTGGCAGATCCTAGTGCGTCAATACCTGAGGGTGTGAATCCAGTTGATGTCGCTGCACTCATGAAATACTATCTTGCTAGCCTTCCGACACCACTAACTACTTTTGAGCTTTATAATGAAATCAAAGATGCGCGGTCGAGCATACACAGAATGAGAAAGTCACTCCAAAAGCTTTCCAATGCGAACTATAATACATTGGAGTTCATAACAGCGCTATTGCTTCGTGTGAGCCAGAAATCACTTCTTAACAAGGTGGGAATATCGTATTTATAAATCACTTACAGTAGTATACCACTAATCTCTGATTCTAGACACTTAAGATGATCCAATTTTCAGGAATCATATCTGCTATCTGAATATTGAGAATCATTTGTTTGCATTTTTACAGATGGATTCGCATAGCCTAGCTATGGAAATGGCCCCAGTGATCATGTGGCGAGAAGACAACAGGCCTGATTCCTATCGGGAATACTGGAGACGCCCGTCGAGGAGTCCTAAGAAAAGTAACGACTTTGAAACTGCTACTCCATGGGACTTGCTCTCAGGTAAACGCAATAACACTTGCTCCTATACTTTTACCATTGAAGCAAAGTTCGATTACGATAATTCTTATCTGTCATGGTTAACAGATGAAGGAGAAGGTCCAGATGTATCTTCATCAATCCCTCTAGATGATATCGTACAAGTTGATTTTGGTGTGGTCGAGGTTGTGCAGTGCCTAATTGAACATCACAATGCGATTTTCACGGATGCAGCCGAGACTGTATGGAGGTGAAACCACCACAGCTAACCAACCTTTCTCCACTCAATGATTTCTCGATTCCCGGGCCAAACCAGAAGAAGATAACCGTTACAAGAACATATGCATTTTGATCTGGATGATGATTGACTAGTGGTTTCAGTAAATAAGCTTTTGTGTCATATTGGTTTTTCTGTAACAATTTTTTAGACTTTAGAACTCTGATGATTCAAAGATAAGTTTTCCTCCTTAGAAGAAGATCAAGGATTCGGATTGTTTCCTAATCATATAAAAGCAATGACCGCAATTCGTTAAAACTCTGTCCAATCGGTTAATTGAAATCGAAATGAAACCAAACCGATTAAACCGAACCGTATTGACTCATGAGCAGACCAATTTGACCTTGAGAGTCAAACAGAGCAGACATACAAAACAACAATTCTGTAGCTTCTTGAGCTCACGGCCATGGCGAGAAGCGATCTTTTGATTTTTGTTTCTACTCTTCTTCTGTTTCTGCCTCTACTTACGGTAAGCGCTCTAATTTTTATATATCTTTCTCTGAAGATCTCTCAAGTCAAATGGAACTGGGAAAAAAAAATCGGATCTTTAAGAGGTGGCTGAACCGTCTGACTAGAAATCGTTTTGGTCGAGATATCTCTCTGATTTTGCCAAATTTGAGTGCTTTATGTTTCATTCTATGCTCAAATGTCAAATCATCTAAATTCGTATTTAAACCTGCTTAGGGACTTGGCAATTCTCTTAGCAAAAACTGGGGTTATGGTTTGGTTTCAGGTAGCTGATGCGGAATTGGTGAAATCTGAAAAGTTTCCGGTAGTGGTGAGTACTTGGCCTTTCCTTGGGGCCGTTAGAGCTGCTTGGAGAGCAGTTGATAGTGGGTGTTCTGCAGTAGAAGCTGTTGTGGAAGGTTGTTCTGCTTGCGAGGAACTTCGTTGTGACGGTACAGGTGGGCTATCGTCTTCTTTTTGGTCCTATATCCTTTGAATTTACTTCTCTAATGTTACTTTCTGAAAGTGAGAGTGTTATTTGTTGGTATTGATAGTTGGGCCTGGAGGAAGTCCGGATGAGAATGGTGAGACCATGATTGATGCTTTAGTCATGGATGGGGTAATAAATCATCACTACCATCCGTTTTATGAGCCCCATTTGCATTAAGATCTTGAAGAATGACTCTCTTCATTTGTGTTATTCTAAGGACATTCTTAGGTGACTATGGAGGTTGGAGCGGTTGCTGCAATGCGGTATATTAAAGACGGTATAAGAGCTGCACATCTAGTGATGAAATACTCTCAACACACATTGCTCGCCGGAGAAGGGGCATCAGCATTTGCAATCTCCATGGGTCTCCCCGGACCCATGAACCTAAGCTCCCCTGAATCTGTAAAGAAGTGGTCGGACTGGAAAGAGAATCAATGCCAACCCAATTTCAGGAAGAATGTAGTCCCTGCAAATGACTGTGGACCTTACAAGCCAAACAATGGTGCTGTGAATGTTTCTGGAGACAAACGCACTGAATCTTGCGAGATGGGGGCGATTGAGTATAGACCTCCTCTTGTTGGTCCTCACAATCACGATACCATATCGATGGCTGTCATTGACAAAGTAAGATGAGTTTCAGTTATATTCTCTATACATTTTTGTTGCCAGGACGAGAGAAACTGAGTTGCTTTTTCAATAGATGGGGCATATAGCTGTTGGGACATCAACCAATGGAGCCACATATAAAATTCCTGGAAGGTAATGCCATCAAAACCGAGCATTATCTCTGACCTAAACCGAACCTATCTATCTCACCTGCCTCCTGATTGTTCAAAATGTGCAAGGAATATGCTCAAAATGGATTTCATGTGTTATATCAATATAGCTTACTTAATCCATATTACATGTTAATATTTAAAGAACTTCAAACCTTGATTGTGAAACACAGGGTTGGTGATGGGCCTATCGTCGGTTCATCAGCCTACGCTGATGATGAAGTAGGTGGATGTGGTGCTACTGGAGATGGTGACACCATGATGCGCTTCCTCCCTTGGTAATTACCCAATCTCCTTGAATATTTTTATATTTTGTTTCTATCTCAATGCATTCTAATGACCAAGACAGGTTTTTCTCATTGTTTTGTGATGGTCACTAATGAATCTTGTCTTATTCTTGTGGCGCTAAAATTGAATATTGAGCATGTAAAAGTGAAAGGGTTATTATGTTTTATCATGTGTTAAAGCAAACTTCTTCTTCTTCTTCTTCTTCTTGGTTGAGGTTTAAGTTACCAAGTTGTGGAGAGCATGAGACAAGGAATGAAACCAGGAGAAGCTGCTAAAGACGCAATCTCGAGAATTGCAAGGAGGTATCCGGATTTCGTGGGAGCCGTTGTGGCTGTTGACAAGAACGGGTCTCACGCAGGAGCTTGCCATGGCTGGATGTTTCAGTACTCAGTCCAGAACCCTGACATGGACGATGTTCAAGTCTTCACAGTGCTTCCATGAAACCGGTAAATTATCTTTCTTGAAATTTGGTTATGGTTCATAGGATATAAAGTTTCTTCTAAAAGTGATTGTAGTTTGTAGATAAAGAAACGGCACGAAGTTCATGTCTGGAAAAACGGAATGGCAAGCTTGTTTGGAGTATTCTTAAGTATACTATTGTTTTGCTTTTTATAAAATAGAAAATCCTGTTCCCGATTGGCCGATTTAGTTTTCGGATTTGTCAGATGTCTGAATTGATCAGACAAAGAGACTTGAGGAATTTTTTTTTTCTGTAAACAACAAAAACATATGAACATAGTTGACTTTCTGTAATTTTAGTGATAGAATATAACATTTTGTTTTTGTGAAAACACGAGCACATAAAATTAGGAGAATTCCTCGGTATATCCTCGACGATTCTATATCTAGGTATTTAATTATTAAAGAATGATAAAAATAAAAATAATACATGTTATTTTGTTTCTATTATCATAAAGTTTAGTAAGAAAATTGTAAAAAAAGAGAAGACGTGACAAAAACGAGGAGAAAGTCATGCAGCCAACTAAATCATAAGATTAGACATTTATAATTTCAAGCTTGATCTTAAATATCTAATACATAAACTCAAACAAAAATTACATATATCCATGAATTCATATGCTAACGGTGAAGCAAATCGTTATTAAAATAATAGAGGATTCAGTTAACCAAACTAACTGTAGTTTCTTAAATTCATTATTTTGAGAAACCATGCTTTAATTTTTCTTTCGATGCAATCTAAAACGTTCGATATATTGTTTTTATTTTTTTAAACAATTCTCAAGCCTTGATTGAATATTTTATTCGTTTGACTTTATTTTTTTTAAGCAAAAACTGCAACCTGAGGGATATACCAACGTAGATCCTAAAGAAATAAAACAGAGAAAGTCTGTATGTATTATTGTTTCAATGTATGAAGAAAAGAATTAAAATTTTATCAAAAAAATAAATAAAATAAAAATGATTTAGTGACCGGACTATAACAGTATATAAATGAGATTGTGGCGGCAACAACGTGCTTGCTTGTGTCCTAATCCTTCCCTCTCCGTCAATTATTTCGTCTTAAGAAAATGTCCAAAGATCACCAAACTTGGGGTTCTTCTTTGTTCTCTGCTTGAACAGAACTACAAGGTAAGCTCTGTTCTGTCTGAAGTTGCATTGCTCTGTTACATTTACATCTAGATTCTTCTCAATTAGCCTGCAAAACTCTATCTCAGACTCTGAATTCTGCAAATTTTACATTTCAATCTTCTTTCAGGAGTTTGAAACTCTGTTTTTAAGTTTCAGATTAAACAATGGAAGAGAAAAAAGTAGTAAGAGCGTTAAGCGAGCACCTATCACTACCTCCTCCACCATCTCTTTCTGTAGCGGTAGCCATTAACGGCAAGAAGAAGAGCAAATACGTCGTTTTTTGGGCTCTTGAGAAGTTCATACCTGAAGGTTTCACTGATTTCAAATTGCTTTATGTTCGTCCTCCTGTCACTTACATCCCTACCCCAAGTAAGTTGTGACTTAAAAGATTCACAATCTCATCTTGTTTTGGGTATAAAGATTGATTTTTATCTTACTTTGGGTACGGTTTGATTTCAGTGGGGAATGCGATATCGATATCAGAGCTTAACAACGACGTAGTATCAGCTTACAAACAAGAAGTGGACAGGAGCACAAACGAGATGCTTCGTCCTTACAAAAAAATGTTCGAAAGGAGAAAGGTTCTCTTCTATTTCAAGAATTAAAATTCTAAAAACCCTTTCTTGTTTTTTTTTTTTTATGTTTTCCCAAAATCTGAAAATGTACCATATTGAACAAAAAAAGGTGCACGTAGAGATTTTGGTGCTGGAATCACACGAGCCTGTAGCTGCGATAGCGGAAGAGATCGCTGGAACTGGAGTCACAAAACTGGTAATAGGAATGTCTCTTCGCGGATTCTTTTCAAGAAAGATCGATATGTCTTCTATGATCGCAACAGCTGTCCCGAGATTCTGCACAGTCTATGTGATCTCGAAGGGGAAACTAGCTTCTGTGCGTCCTTCTGAGTCAGACGCTAGCGGAAGCATAAGATTCGAGAGAACTGAGAGAAGTAGTTCCACAAGTGGCTCCACTGATAGTCCTAGACTCCCTTCTGGTAAATTTTAACATCAATTAAGTTAAATTGAGTCTTTAAAAATGTCAGTTCTCTAAATTGCAAAAACTTAAAAACAGAGTACCAAGACTTTCTCTCGTTTGTTTCGGAAGCGCAATCCCGAGTCTCTCCGTTTTTCCCTGCTCGGAAACATTCGATGAGCAGTAGCAGCGCGGTGGTTCAAATGGATACGAGTTCCAGCGAGACGGACCAAGAGGAAGTATCTAAAGGGCGAGGGATGGAAATTGTACATATGGGTAATGAAGGGAATAAGAATAAGGATGAGAGCTTTAGTGCCTCGTTCCCAATGGGAACAGAGGCGTATCACGCGATGAGCTGGGCTTCTAAATGGAGAGATCACGAGGATAGGAGAGGGATCATGAGCTCGTCTTCGAGCAACAACCACGAGCTAGCGAATATGGATTGGGGTGCAGTGGTTCCTGAGAACTATTCTTGGGTTTCTCATTGTGCCTCTAACATGTCTGATGGACTCCTCAGCGTCCATTCCGTGACTGATAATCAGGTAAGCTAATCGTCTTCATTCTTGATTCTGTTTTGTTCAGAGAAACAGCTTTGTTCGTTTCTCCTTCTCTGGTGTCAAGAATTGAGTGTAGTCTAGAGTCACTATATTGTTTTGCTGAGTCATAAAATTGTCTTGTTTTTGATTCTGTCTTTTCAGAGAGACAGAACATGTTTTGGTTCGAAACTAAAATTGGATCTAATTGTGTAGGTGAATCTGAGCTTTGAGATAGAGAAGCTGAGAGCCGAGCTGAAACATGTTCAGGAGATGTATGCCATGGCTCAAACCGAGACTGTTGATGCTTCAAAAAAGGTTTGATTCAAGTTCTTGCACCACATAGACCGTAGCGTTTTTCGCTTATTGGTAACATTTATGTGTTCTTGCTTCTGCATTTGGTTGCAGCTGACTGAGCTAAACCAGCGGCGGTTCGAGGAGTCCGAGAAGCTTGTGGAGCTGAAGGAAATGGAAGAAGTAGCCAAATATACAGCTTCAAAGGAGAAGCAGAGGTATGAAGAGGCAATGAAGGAAGCAGAGAAGGTTAAAGAGCTCATGATGAAAGAGGCTTTACATAGAAGAGAAGCTGATATCAAAGCAGAGCGCGACGCTAAAGAGAAAGATAAGCTTCAGGCTTCTCTCGTCTCTCCCGGGATCCAATACCAACATTATACCTGGGAGGAAATCGCAGCCGCCACTTCTGACTTCGCGGAAAATCTCAAGATTGGAATCGGAGCCTATGGAACCGTCTACAAATGTAATCTGCATCACACGACGGGTGCTGTCAAGGTCCTTCACGCAGGAGAAACTCAGCTCTCTAAACAGTTTGATCAAGAGGTTGGAAAACCGTACCAAACATCGTATAATATTTATGTAAAGAGCGATTTCGGATTAAAGGTCTGATTAGTAATCAGAGTCTAAATGTTTTTTTATATCTGTTTTGACAGCTTGAGATCTTAAGCAAAATCCGACATCCTCACCTAGTCCTCCTCCTCGGGGCATGTCCCGAACGAGGCTGCCTTGTCTACGAGTACATGGACAATGGAAGCTTAGATGACCGGTTGATGCTAGTCAACGACACACCACCGATCCCTTGGTTCGAGCGTTTCAGGATTGCTTTAGAAGTCGCTTCAGCGCTTGTATTCCTCCACAAATCCAAGCCCAGACCCATCATTCACCGCGATCTCAAACCAGGAAACATCTTACTTGACCACAACTTCGTCAGCAAACTCGGCGACGTTGGTCTCTCAACAATGGTTAACCAAGACGACGCTTCTTCTAAACTAACCGTCTTCAAGAAAACCAGTCCCGTGGGCACGCTCTGTTACATCGACCCTGAGTACCAGCGAACCGGGATTATCTCACCTAAATCAGATGTGTACTCCCTCGGAGTTGTGATTCTGCAGCTAATAACCGCGAAACCCGCGATAGCGATTACTCATATGCTGGAAGAAGCGATCGGAGACGATGCTGAATTTATGGCAATCTTGGATAAGAAAGCTGGGTCTTGGCCCATCAGTGAGACTCGTGAGTTAGCCGCTTTGGGACTGTGTTGCACGGAAATGAGACGCAGAGACAGACCAGATCTAAAAGATCAAATCATCCCGGCTTTGGAACGGCTCAAGAAAGTCGCCGACAAAGCTCAAAACTCGCTCTCGAGAACTCCATCTGGTCCTCCATCTCATTTCATTTGCCCACTCATCAAGGTTCAAATAAGCCCTAAAACCATGATTAGTTACTTGTCATACAAGAAATCATTTTTCTTCTCGATTGTGATCTAATTTGTTTTTGGAGCTGATCACAGGGAGTGATGAATGAGCCGTGCGTGGCTGCGGATGGGTATACGTACGATCGGGAAGCTATAGAGGAATGGCTGAGAGAGAATGATACATCACCAGTGACGAACCTTCCACTGCCTAACAAGAACCTTCTTGCTAATTACACTCTTTACTCAGCAATCATGGAGTGGAAATCTAATAAACAGTAGAGAGAAACAGATTCCACAAAAATTACTATCGATTCTATCAATGTGTTTACTCTAATCTTTTTTTTTTGTGTGTTTGTCTCTGTGCCTCCTTGGTCTCTGTTCCGAGGATTTGTCTCTTGTGTGATGAGATGCAAAATTACAATAATACAACATTAGAGAAAAAGAGAGAGAGGGAAATGTCTTTTGATTTAAGCTTATTGTGTTTTGGAAATATGTCTCGTGTTTCTACTCTCTGATGGTAAAAATGTAATTTTAGTTTGAACCTCCCAAAAAAAACCTCTGGGCCTATCCAATCCAGTAATTGATTTGTCATTCTACATTTTTCTAATCTTTATCTTAACTAAAACAAAGGTTAATATTTGCTCCAACAAAAAAAAAACAAAGGTTGATGATGTTAGAAAGATTTTCTATATATATGACAAGCTTGATACAAATTATAACATGAACTTCAACACTAATACAAGCCAATATCATGTATTACTACTTTCTTTCTTGTTTAAACATACTACAAATTTCAGTAAAAAAAGTTAAACTCGTTTCAGTCCAAGTATAGATTTTGGACCATCCATTAGAAGAATCCTTACCTATTGTCATGTCAAACACGTCCACAGTTAAGGCCAATAAATTCACATAATGATAAAGTTGAAACTGTACTTATCAAACGCATAATTTGTGTGTTTTCTTCTCAATAACATCCGCATCTCAGAGATAACTATCACAGGTTATTTTGTCCACCATTAAATGTCCGCTACTCAAGCCATTTAATGCACATAATAAATGCTAGAAAGTACACCTGTGATCCAATGAATTAACAATATATCTCTGTTTCATATTTCGATTTCATAACTTAGAAGAGATTATTTACACAAGTTAATAGTATTAAGTATGAACTATGAAGACATGAAGTATGTCAATGTTAAAATCCGTACTTGTTGAGTTTCAAAAGCTTGATGATGGCTATGAGACCTATTTGTGCTTAAAGTATGTACTATTTGGAGTATCCAAGAAATGAGCTTATTAAGTTCATACCACACACAAGGTGTGTCTTGTCTATAGAGCTTCTAGTTGTGTTGTCGAGGTGCAGAAAGTTTCCGGGAGGTGCCGATGCAGAGAGGTCTAAAAGAGAAGCTTTCACATCGATAGTTCTTCCACTTATCGAAAAGAATCTTTAGGGTTGACAGAACTTGAAATTATTTAGTCAAACGTTTAGAAGAAAAAACAAAAAGATTCGGAAAAGAAAACACGATAATATAGTTGAACAAGAAAATCAAAAACAAATTTGTATTTTGGCAGAAATGAACCTACAATATCTCAATATTAACTTCATAAGGGAATAGGCCACAAATTGAAAAGTCAACAAAATTGAATAAAAAAAAGTTGGTAGTCCGACAAAAGCCCAGTTGTTCTGACTTTCAACGTCATCAAACCTAAGGAAACTACCGGAAAAGACATCACATATTCACACAAACTCTTCTAGACTTTTTTGACATTTTCAATTCTCTCATCGTTTTTTTTTCTTAATCATTACTTCTTTGAATCTTTGGTTATATCCCTAAAGAATTCAACTGGTTTGCGCATAAATTTCCGTATAACTCCATTACTTTAATCAGAAGACACATTCACTGGACTCAAATTTGATTCGTCTTTTTCTTCTCATTCTCTCTCTCTCCATTTGTCAAGAAGCTGTTGAATCATCGTCCCCCACGAGTTTTGGAAAAAGCTTTGAAGTTAAATCTCAATAGGTATCTCTATGACTCTATCTATCTTCAACTCTGATGATTGATCTTAGCCGTTGAAATTGGCTAACCAGATCTTCCATCTTTTTAGTATTTTGTTATATAAATTATATTATATCCATTTAAGGATTCAACTTGTTTTGTTTTGTTTTGTTTTGCCCAGAAAATGTCTCTGTAACTTACATTTAATTAAACATAAAAACCAGACCAATTCATGACTCTCTCTTCTCTCTGTTTTGTCGCTTTAAGCACGACGAGAGATTAAGAGGAAACAAAAGCTTCAACCTTTGAAGTCAAAATACGCAGGTATCTTCAAAAACCTCTCTATAATCTCAACAAACCTTGATGAAGAATGATGATGATAATCAGATCTTAACCGTTGAAAATCCAGAGATGGGTGATGGAGCTTTAATCGTAGCGGTGGCTATTAAAGGGAACAATAGCAAAACCAAAGGCGTTGTTCGATGGGCACTTCAAGAATTCGCTTCTCGAGAACATGTTGTCTTCAAGCTCTTACATGTCCAACCAAGTAAGCTATTATCTAGAACTTTACATAAGTTTCAATCTTGAAGTCAAAATTTAGATCTGATTTTGTTAAGTTAAAACAGGAGACTCTAATACGGTTTCGACCACAAGAAAAGATTCGACCACAACTGTTTACAAGAAAGATGTTGATAGAAAAACCAGAGAGATGCTTCTTCCAAGTAGAGACATGTTTGTTCATAGAGAGGTATGTGTCATAGTGGATTTGATTTGATTTGCTGTTTCATGTTTCTATTGTTGAGAATCTGAATCTTGTGAAATGTGAAAAGGTTCAATTGGATATAATGGTGCTTGAATCAGACGATGTAGCTGATGCAATCTCTAAAGCGGTTCAAGATCATGGAATCAGTGAGCTAGTCATTGGAGCTTCCTCTTCAATCATCTTCTCATGGTAACATATCCAAACACAATCTCCTAAGTCCTAACTATCAAATTATCTGACTTTTTTTTATCAGATTATATAATTTCTTTCTTTTTGCAGGAAGTTGAAGAGAAGCAACTTGTCTTCAAGAATTTCAGTTGCTACACCAAAATTTTGCACAGTTCACGTTATCTCTAAAGGAAAGCTTCTCAATGTTCGTAAATCTGATATGGACACCGAAACGAGCATTGCAGATGATAGAAGCGAAAGCCGATTCTCTTCAGATAGTCATTCAGGTATGAACTAACTCTGTAGGACATAAACTAAAACCTGTTTATCTGTTTGATTTGATTGGTTTTTTAACATTTTAGGATCAGTAAGTTCGACATCGAGTCATCAATTCTCATCAACACCTTTACTCTTCCAAAGAATCCAAGCGCTTTCAACCGTAAACCAGAAGGTTGGAACAAACATTGGAAAACAGAACAATGAACCGCATCATCATCATAACAGAGCCGGGTCTCTCGACGATGAATCAAAGTTACTGAACCAGAAGGGCTTTTACAGAACAAGCAGCTCGGGAATTGGGTATGGAGGAAGCGATATCAGCAGCTGGAGAAGCTCTCAGATGGAAGAGGCTTCAAGCTCAAGTACCTACAGTGACCCTACTTCATCTAGTAGCCAGGTTTCTTTTCGTTCTCAAAACCAATTGACAACGAGTGAAGTAATGCATTATGTTTGACTAATGTGGGATTTATAACAAGCAGGCCAATAAAGACTTTGAATTAGAGAAGCTGAAGATTGAACTCCGTCACATTAAAGGAATGTATGCAGTTGCTCAAGGCGAAGTCATTGATGCTTCTAAAAAGGTTCACTGTTTGCTACAATATTTGGGCCTTTTTTTTCGATATCGAATATAATTTGTATATCCTCTGTTTTTCTTTCTAACAGATGCAAGATCTGAACCAGCGGCGATCAGAGGAAGCTACGAGGCTCAAGAACTTAACGATAAGAGAAGAAGAAGCTGATGAAGTGGTAGAAATGGAAAAGGAGAGACAAGAGGAGGCGGAAAACGAAGCTGAGCTTGTGAGAGAATGCATTGAGAGAGAAACCGAAGAGAGACTTGAGGCGGAAGCAAGAGCAGAAGAGGTTAGAAAAGAGAAGCAGAGGCTAGAGGATGCACTTGAAGGCGGACCGCTTCAACGCCAACAATACATGAAATTTGAGTGGGAAGAGATCGTCGAGGCGACGTCATCCTTCTCTGATGAGCTTAAGATCGGTGTGGGCGGTTACGGAAGCGTATATAGGTGTAACTTGCACCATACGACAGTAGCTGTCAAGGTTCTTCATTCAGACAAAAGTAGCTTAACCAAACAGTTTCACCAAGAGGTAAATAAACATTCTTTACTTTCTAACCTCCAAGCAAAATTTCTATTCTGCTATAACGATGCCATATTCGTTGATACTTCTTCAGCTTGAGATTCTTAGCAAGATTCGTCACCCACACTTGCTTCTCCTCCTAGGCGCGTGTCCTGAACGCGGAAGCTTAGTCTACGAGTATATGCACAACGGAAGCCTCGAGGAAAGACTCATGAAACGCCGACCAAACGTTGACACACCGCAGCCACCGCCGTTACGGTGGTTCGAGCGGTTCCGAATCGCTTGGGAGATCGCTTCAGCTCTTTACTTTCTCCACACAAACGAACCAAGACCAATCGTTCACCGAGATCTTAAACCAGCCAATATACTCCTAGACCGGAACAATGTGAGCAAAATCGGAGACGTAGGCCTCTCCAAAATGGTTAATCTTGATCCTTCTCATGCCTCAACGGTTTTCAACGAAACCGGTCCAGTTGGAACATTCTTCTACATAGATCCTGAATACCAAAGAACCGGAGTGGTAACCCCGGAATCTGATATTTACGCGTTTGGAATCATACTTCTTCAGCTAGTCACAGCTAGATCCGCCATGGGTTTGGCTCATACGATAGAGAAAGCGTTGAGAGATCAAACCGGGAAATTTACAGAGATCTTGGATAAAACTGCTGGAGATTGGCCGGTTAAAGAAGCGAAAGAGATGGTTATGATAGGACTTAGATGTGCGGAGATGAGAAAGCGTGATCGCCCTGATTTAGGGAAAGAAATTTTGCCGGTTCTTGAACGGTTAAAGGAAGTTGCGTCTAACGCAAGAAACATGTTTGATCATCACCATAATGCTCCGACTCATTTCTACTGTCCAATAACAAAGGTAATGAATGATAAGAAAATCTTACATTTTATGTCAGGATTTGTTATTTATGTGTGTTTGATTTGGTTTATGGTTTCATTGTTGAAATTAGGATGTGATGGAGAATCCATGTGTTGCTTCGGATGGATACACGTATGAGAAGAGAGCGATTAAGGAATGGCTTCAGAAGAATCATAAATCGCCAATGACGGATTTGCCCTTCCCTAATGATTCTCTTCTTCCTAATCATTCTCTTCTTTCTGCAATTAAGGAGTGGAGATCACAACTAATTAAATAAAGGGATCAATTAAAGGTTCAAGGTTTTTAAATTTGTAGGCCTAAATTCGTCAGTTAACATGCATTGTTGTGTTTTTTTTTGTCATACCATTATTGCGCAGCGCACACAGGAGTAGAAAAAAGTTGATGAAACATTCGGGGTTTTTGTTGTTCGATGAAAAAAAAAAAAAAAAAAAACGTTGATGAAATATTCGAGTTTTTGTGTGTAAATTTTTTTTACCTTAGTTGTTTGATTGTATTATAGGTTTTGGCTGCACATTTGCAAGAAAAATATAATAGTGTTGATTTTTCGTTGTATCGTATTTTCTTGTAAATATACATAATGCAACATATCAATGCAAACAAAAAACATATATGAATCCAATTCCAATTAATCCAATCCAATTTGAATTTGAAAACTACGGTTTTTTTTTTCTTAGTTGTGTATGATTTGATCAAACATGAGATAGGATCGTAAACGTTGGCCTATAGTTTTTTTTTTTTTTTTTTTTTAATATATGGAAGTTCAAGCCCGAGAATCCTACATCTCCCAGAGACGGGACTCACACCAGGTTAAATTCATCTCCTTTAGAGAAAAGATCCCTCTCAACGAGCGTCGAACCCAATACCTCCACCTGGGAGATTTACCACTGGGTCAACACAACGTTGGTTGTTGGCCTATAGTTTATACTACGAAGATACCCATATCTTTTACTATTTTGTATTTTGGTTTGTTTCTCTAACATCTATCGGTCCCATAGTGAAATAAAAATGTTATGTTTTGTCAAGTTGGATTTTGTTGAATATATATAATTGTTAACTAGGTTAGTTAGTAATGTATACGTGAGATCTGACACCTAGGCCATTAAATGGTGTGGGTTCTATATAATTAGCTATGAAAGACATAAAAATGATTATAGAATAATAAATAGCCAGACGAATACTGAATTTATAAAGATAACATTTGAGCATTGTTCACACATTCTATCATTTATCTACTGGAATGATAGTCTTATTTTTTGCTGTATTCATATAATATTGGTTACAAATGAAGAAACTTTAACAAAGTTTAAACATTATATACGTTAATAAGTTTGAACTATACGTCAATTGTGTATAAACCAAAGTACCATACGATGGTTAAAACATAGAATTAGTAAGAATTACATTATAACAACAAACAATATATGTAACTATGTAAGAGAATCATTGCAATAATATATATTCTATATGTCGTTTCGTTTACACACACACATGCACATAGGGAAAAAGAACTTTATCCTAATATGCAATGATCAAATATCAGAATGGAAATTATGCAATAAAAATAGAAAAATAGACAACGAAGTAGCAAAAAAAAATCTCACAAAATTGTTAGTAAACCAAAGTTGCAATTGAGTTGTGGTTGTTGAAAGGCGAGTGACATGAAGGTCCCCCCACCACCTTATTTGATACGTATGGTGATTGGTGGGTCTATCAAAAGGACCATTTCGACGTGGGAGTATAATTTTGTCATACTATTAATCAAGATCTACAAAGTTATAAGCTAATGTCTAGTAATAAGTAATTAGGTAGTTTTCACAAGAAAAATACATCCTTTATAAGATTTGATTAGCATATTAAATAACTAACATTTTTTGGGCGGTGATTTCGTACCAAAAACAGAAACAAAGTTTCAATACGTTTTCAAAGTACAATGCCAAAATCTAATTCTCTAATACGACATAGTCGTTCCAATAAATTGACCTATACAATTTGGTTTATACTAGTAGGTCATAAACTTATACAATTGGTTGAGAACTTGGTAGGAGAATAAAAACACATTTTCAATAATAGCGAACAAAAACAACTCATAAGTCCACATTGATACAACTAAAACCATGTTTCAGATCTCTCTATATCATCATTTACTTCATCTCCATCTACATATCTCTCTGTATCACTACTGTGAACAAAAAAAGTTTCAATTATTCATACTTTTCCATTTGTATTCTCATACCTAAGAATTCCAAATTCCAATTTCCTTCCACACAAATACCAAAAACCGAAAATCCGAAAAACCGAAAACCTTTCCATGAGATGAGAAAATCCCATTTGGTAAAACTGATACTTGCAGTATCTCTGCCAACAACATTCTTGATCATAATCGCCATCATCATAATCTTCATCTTTTGCAGAAGAAGAAAAACAGAGACCAATGAAGCTCAATACGAAGTCGAATCTCCTTACGAGAAAGAAGATTATTCCGGATCCGAAACAGAGGAGGAGCTTGTAATCTGTAACGGTGGGGACGATCTAACCATCTGTGATATCCTTGATGCTCCCGGAGAAGTCATCGGAAAGTCAAGCTACGGTACATTATACAAAGCGACGTTGCAGAGAAGTGGGAAAGTTAGGGTTCTTAGATTCCTTCGACCTTTGTGTGCAGTGAAATCGGATGCTAAGGAGTTTAATGGCGTCATTGAGTCGCTTGGATTTGTTCGACATGATAATTTGGTTCCTCTGTTAGGGTTTTATGTTGGGAACAGAGGAGAGAAGCTTATGATTCATCCTTTCTTTGGTTCCGGGAATCTCTCTGAGTTCATCAAATGTAAGTCTCTGTTTTCTACTCTGTTTTTTTCTCGAGAAAGCTGGAAAAGATTAAAGGAACAAACTTTTTTAATTTTTAGACAAAAATAGATTAACTTTTTAGCTGTCTTGATTCGTGGAATCTCGTAGATTCTTGTTTTCTGGGAAACAAACAGAGTCTTGAGTTCTCGTTTTCCCGGGAAAATGGTTAAAAAGTTTTTAACGCATCTAAGAAAACTTATCGTTACCAATATGATATATATTTTTTAATGCATAGTGTATTCGAAGATATATATCGAAGTTTTATTCGTCAGATGGAATCATATTGGTAACTGTAGTCGAACCATAAGAAATTGTGTTATCTTTTACCCCTTTTCGTAAATCGTAACATGTAATTGTTTTATTCTTTTTTTTTTGTTTTTTTTTTTTGCTCTAGGATCACCATTATTGATCTATCTTTTGTCGGTAACTACTTTTTTTTTTGTCACTTCCCACTTCTTTTGCTCACTACGTAAGACAAAATCTTTATAGATCTCGTTCCTTTAAATCTTTAGAGCATCAACATCAGTATTAATTTTTCTAATCAATATTCAATACGTTGTCTTAAAAACAGAGCATAGTTTTGGCAGGTGGAGATGTTGACGCACACAAATGGAGCAACATTTTGAGTATCACCATTGGAATAGCAAAAGCTCTTGATCATCTCCACACAGGAATGCAGAGAACGATTGTTCACGGAAATCTGAAGTCGAAAAATGTTCTTCTAGACCAGAGTTTTAGGCCTAGAGTCTCTGATTTCGGCTTGCATTTGCTCTTGAACCTCGCGGCTGGGCAAGAGGTTCTAGAAGCTTCTGCTGCAGAGGGATACAAAGCGCCTGAGTTGATCAAGATGAAGGAAGTAAGCAAGGAGAGTGATGTGTATAGTTTCGGTGTGATCATGCTTGAGTTAGTCTCTGGTAAAGAGCCAATAAACAAGAATCCAAAGGGTTCTATTCTTGATCATAATAGGTTGTCGGATTTGTACCGTCCTGAGATTCTTAGGAGATGTGTGAAAGATGGAAATGGTGTGACCGAAGAATGTGTTCTCGAGTACTTTCAGCTTGCAGTATCTTGTTGCTCTCCATCTCCTTCTCTTAGGCCAAGCTTCAAGCAAGTATTGAGGAAACTTGAAGAGATTAGGAAATGATGCATTAGAAAACTTGACTAATTTGTGGAACAGGCATAGCAAGAGAATGTTGAATCTTTCAAACAATCAGATACTTTTTTGCAAGATTGATTTAACGCGTGAGGCGGATAATACACGGGAGCGTCTTCATAGGATGACACAATACATGTTACTTGTGGATGTTTACAGAGAAGTAGTTAGTCTGATTATCTACAGAAGTAACTGAAGATGGATCGAAGTTTTACTTAGGCAGGACTTCCAGAATAGTGATTTGTAGAATACCTGAGAGAAGAGCCAACAAGAGACTCGAAGAACTTTGAAAGGCCTCTAGTAATCATAGAACATAATCTTCGTGAATGTAAATTGTCGTTGAAGTTGTATCTTATAGCCTTGCTCGGTCTGTTCAGCAAGATATATGATTCTTGAGTAATATATTTGAAATCTCCATAAATCTCTCTCTCATTCTTGCTCTTGAAGGAGATCTTTGCAGTTTTAAGCAAAGTATCATGAACTAGGGTTTATGTTATAAATAACCACAGATTCAACACTTTTTACCCTGCACTTTCTCCATCAATACATTCAGTGTTTTGTATATATCATCCTTCTGGGGATGGTATTGATCCCCGGAGCAAAACTTGTGGATTTTACCTCCGATGGAAATCCAGCTCATTCCAGGTTCTTTTCTCATGGCTTGAGATTTCATCATATTTCTTACATTCAATCCACCTTCAATATTTCCAGCTTCTCTATATGTATTTGACAAGAGAACAAGAGCAGCAAAATCATCCGGATTATAAGAGAGAACCTTTTGAGCAGCAATCTTTGCCAACTGAATGTTCCCATGAACCCTACATGCTCCAAGCAATGTCGACCAGACTTTCTCATCAGGTTCTATCGGCATCTTCATTATAAACTTCCATGCTTCCGTTAGCCGGCCGACGCGGCCAAGGATATCAACCACACAAGCATAATGTTCAATTTCCGGGACCAGCCCGTATCTTTCCTCCATTAAATGAAAATACCTCAAGCCTTCATCCACTAGTCCCCCGTGGCTGCAAGCAAACAGAAGGCATAGAAATGTAACTGAATTGGGTTTTGGAAGTACAAGCTCCATTTTTCGGAAGAGCTCTAAGGCATCCTTCGCCATACCGTGTTGGGCATATCCAGATATCATGGCGGTCCATGAAATGACATCAGGGTCCTTCAAAGATTCAAATACCTTGATGGCATCTCTTACACTACCACATTTCGCATACATATCGATAAGAACACTCTCTACACATTTGTCCCTAGCAAAGCCAGTTTTGTATGTCAAGCTGTGAACTTGCTGCCCATACTCGAGAGAACAGAGGCTAGCACATGACGCAAGTACACCGGAAAATGTGACTTGGTTCGGTTGAAATCCCATTTCTCTCATCTGAGAGAAGACGCTTAGTGCATCCTCCCATTCAGAAGACTGAGAATAAGCTGTCACAAGCGTTGTCCATGAAATCTGGTTTGATTCCTCCCAAGTGTCAAAAAGCTTCATCATCGCGTCAAGTTCCCCACATTTGGCATATGCATCCATTAATGCATTGCAGAGACTCACACCAAACGATTCTCGTCCACTTTTCCAGATCATCCCGTGAACCTGCTTTACATATTCTAAAGACCTCATGTCAGCAATTGAATTCAATGCACTGCAGTATGTGTATACGTCTCGCTTGATATTATTCTGACACATCCTAAGAAACAGCAACATTGCTTCTTCGCCGTGCCTTGAAATTGTATAACCAGATATCATAGCGTTCCACGGTAAATTCCCTCCACAACCAGAGAAATTCGACTCAAAAACTGACAGTGCTTCAGTGACACATCCACATTTTGCAAACATATCAATCAAAGCTGTTCCCACGTGGATGTTTGACTGCATACCAATTTCTAAAACAATCTGAGCAATGTATCTACCTTTCTCAACATCTCCCAACTGTCCAATAGCTTTCGAGACGCTAATAAAACACGATACGTTCGGTCTAATTTCCTCTTCCAGCATTCTCAAGAAACTATTGTATGCTTCCGCATAAAGACCGTTTGACACAAACCCTGATATCATTGCATTCCATGAAACTTGGTTACGATTTTCCATGGAATTAAACACCTTATAGGAATCCCCAATCCTCCCCAACTTAGCATACATGCCAAGCAAAGACGTATTAACAAACACACGAGACGAAAATCCCCGAGTTATAACCTGAGCATGAACCATTTCATCCACATCAATACTATCCACACCAATACATGCCTGTATCGCAGCAGAAAAAGCGTACTCATCGGGGACGATATCGCAACCAAGCATCTCAACAAAATAATCAATCCCATCACGGTAGTACCCGTTCTCCGTAGCGCCAACCATTAAAACAGTCCACGAAAAAACACTCTTTTGGGGAATTTCGTCGAACACCTGACGAGCAGAACCAAAGTCTGAGCATTTTGAGTAGGCAATAACCAACTGATTCAACATTACCGTCAAGGACTTCTCAGTAAACTGAAATTTAATAAGAAATCCATGAACCGATTTCGCTTTCTTTAAACACCTTTCATCTGCAGACTCTCGTATAAGCTCAATCAGTGATGTCTCTGAATAACAACAATTCCCATCGTTTACTGTTAAAGATGATGGAGAATTCGACGACATTGAGATCTCTCGAGTCTTATTCTTAATCTGAGCTGGTAAAAACACTGTTGAGCTTCCTCTCTGTAAAACATGATTTCGTCATGAATAAAAAAGCTAGGTGATTTACATTAAGAGGGATAAAGAGAAAGAGATAATGATTCTCACAGATGATGGAACTTCAGGTAGTTTAACGGCAAGAGGAAACGAGATTCCGACAGAGGAGCTCATCTGAAACAGGGGATTCCGGTAGAGACGATATATTTTCCCGGGAAAATCTTCAACAAGAACTACCGAACTAAAAAACAGATTTATACATAAAACGGCATGGAGTGTTATATCATTTATCACCAACGGCATGGTGTTATACTCCTCCCTTTTCAAATCGGTTTATTCTTTTCCGGTTCGGTTTGATTTGAACCGGAATGGGCCTAGTCTCTCTGATTAGTGTGCGTCGGATCGGTGATCTCTCTCTGCTGTGAATTCCACAGAGATTCTAAAAAACTTTCAATCTCACAAATTCGGATTTGTTCTCCATAAATATGGAAGCTTCGATTTCGTTACTCGGGTCAACAAAACCCAGTCTTTCCTCACTTATCCCTTCTTCCAACGTCCTTCATCGTCGAGACTTCCCTCTTCCTGCTTTGAAATTGAAGAAAGTTTTAGTGTTGCCTCGAATCGTGCACCAGAAACGACTCATCAAAGCTCAGTGCTCTGATGGATTCAAACCAGAGGAAGACGATGGGTTTGTTCTAGAAGACGTCCCTCACTTGACCAAATTTCTTCCTGATTTACCGGTATTTGATTCTTCCCTGTCTCTGTCTCATAGCTTATCAATTTCTGTAATGAAGATTTATAATTGCAACGTAACGATTTGACTGGTATCTAGTAAGTAGTGATGTGTTAGTATCTTTGTCAAGTTATGAGTTTTTCCATTTAAAGTTACTAACTTTTCTGCTGGGTTAATGTTAGTTCCCTAATTCATGATTTGCTTCTGATATCACAGTCGTATCCAAATCCATTGAAAGAAAGCCAAGCATATGCCATTGTTAAGTAAGTTCAAATATTTGACATGGCAAAGTCAGTAAACTCAGAAATACCTTTGACGATTGTAATGTATTGTTCATACTGTTTCTGTAGGCGAACCTTTGTCAGTTCCGAAGATGTGGTTGCACAAAATGTAAGCTGGATGTTTTTATTCTAAGCTTTTCTTCTTTTTTTTTCGATTTGCGGGTGTTTTGCTTGCTCAAGTACCTTCATATTCAGATTGTAGTCCAGAAGGGAAGTAAGCGAGGAGTACACTTTAGGCGAGCAGGGCCTCGAGAAAGAGTATGATTTCTTCTTTAAAGTGTTAGACTTTTGTGAGAATTTTCGCAACTGAAACCCGTTAAGTTTTGGCTATATAGGTGTACTTCAGATCAGATGAAGTAAAAGCTTGCATAGTCACTTGCGGGGGCTTGTGCCCAGGAATCAATACTGTTATACGGGAAATTGTATGTGGATTGAACAATATGTATGGTGTCAATAACATTCTTGGTATTCAGGGAGGATATAGAGGCTTTTACTCCAAAAACACTATGACCCTGACGCCTAAAGTGGTTAATGATATTCATAAACGCGGTGGCACTTTTCTTCAAACCTCAAGAGGAGGACATGATACAGTGAAGATTGTTGATAACATTCAAGATAGAGGAATAAACCAGGTTGCTAACATAACTGATATCCATTTTGTCCACGTTTCTTGATTTTTATGTAGATTAGCTTGTACTGAAATGAGCCATACTAATATCTTGTCAATGTGTATTTCAGGTGTATATTATTGGAGGTGATGGGACGCAAAAGGGTGCAGAGAAAATATACCAGGTTATTCATTATCACATATTACTGAATGTTGAATGTAGCATTAAGTAATTCTACTGATACTTGCTTCATATTCTGTGAAGGAAGTTGAGAGGCGTGGTCTTCAAGTGGCGGTTTCTGGCATTCCCAAGACAATTGATAATGATATTGCTGTAAATACGCATTGATAATTTTCAACTTAAGGTCTACTTTTCTCTCATGTGGAGTTTCTTATACATCTTCTTCACCCATTTTTCTAGGTGATTGACAAATCATTTGGGTTTGATACCGCGGTTGAGGAAGCACAACGAGCTATTAATGCTGCACATGTAGAGGTCGAGAGCGTGGAAAATGGAGTTGGTATCGTTAAACTCATGGGCAGATACAGTGGTAAATATTCTGTGGCATATGTGGATTACTTTATTTTTTGTGAATATGAATTTAACTTTTGGTACAAGTTCTGCAGGTTTTATTGCCATGATTGCAACTTTAGCGAACCGTGATGTGGTAATACATTATTTTGATTGTTAAGTTTTCACAATAAAATTTCTTAATTCTGGTGTATAACAACGTCAACTTTGAAATGTGACAGGATTGTTGCTTGATTCCAGAGTCTCCATTTTTTCTTGAAGGAAAGGGTGGGCTCTTTGAGTTTATTGAACAACGACTCAAAGAGAATAGGCACATGGTTATTGTGATAGCCGAAGGTGCTGGACAGGATTATGTTGCTCAAAGCATGCATGCATCTGAAACTAAAGACGCCTCAGGAAATAGACTCTTGCTTGATGTTGGTCTATGGTTGACTCAACAGATAAAGGTATTGGTCGAAACTCGAAAGCTAAGAAAATGGTTTCAAGATTTTTTTCCTCAAACATTCAAGATGAGTTTTGTGGCCACAATGCTGCAGGATCACTTTACAAATGTTCGGAAAATGATGATAAATATGAAGTACATAGGTATATCTCCAGACTCACTGTCTCTATCTTGTTAACACTCCTCTGTGCATTTCATTGACATATTTACTTGTTGAACAGACCCGACGTATATGATAAGAGCAATACAGAGTAACGCATCAGACAATGTCTATTGCACTCTTCTTGCCCAAAGTGCAGTTCATGGAGCAATGGCTGGGTATTCAGGTTTCACTGTAGGACCAGTTAATAGCAGACATGCTTACATCCCAATTTCTGTAAGCTTTTCTCTTTTACTTCTCTAATCATTCTTAGACTAACTTAATCATTGAGTCCTAAACCTTTGTGGTTAATGCCCATGATTTTTTTACTTCTGCAGCGCGTGACTGAAATGACAAATACGGTGAAGTTAACTGATAGGATGTGGGCTAGACTCCTTGCATCGACAAATCAACCGAGTTTCTTGACTGGTGAAGGAGCATTGCAGAATGTGATCGACATGGAAACTCAAGAAAAGATCGATAACATGAAGATCTCTTCTATCTAAGAAACAGGTCAGTTGATATGCATCAACTGTTCCAAATGTATACTAGACATTTATGCATAGAAGATATCTTTATCAAAAAACCATGAAGTATTTCATTGGTTATAAGAATTCTTTGGGTTTTTTTATTCCTAATAATAATAAAACTCAACATCCATCTCAACGATGAGATTGAGATGTTAATACATATCTTCCTCTGTTTACTTTTCCATTTTGCAACTTGTGCATCTCTCCCGTCTTTAGCTGTTGCGTGTGGTCCATCCATTTCCTTGTCATATTTAAAAAATGAATGCTGACTTGTACCCAACCATGAGACAAAACTCTGGCTGCCATATTCTTTAAACTTGGTCCCTCTTGCAACTTGTTCGTCTACTCAATTCATTGATTCACGCTTTCTGGACATTTGAACTAATTAATACCTCAGTGATATTGAATACTGAAGCCACTGTACGATACTGTTTGTATCATTGGAGAAACTTTAAGGCTTATGTTAAGGTCTTCCAGGGAGAAATTCGATTAAGTATCACAGAACTAGACTAATAAATAAATGTAGTTGATAGATTTAGGTCCTCTTGCCTTCTCAGGATGTTTAATCTCTGAAAAAAACGAATCTGGGACAAGAACTTTGTTTCTAGAACCTTAAGCTCTTTAAGACATGAGAAAACACAGAAGTTCCATTGTTACAGGAACTCTTTAGTACATATTTTGCAAGAGTTTTTTCCAGTAGTACACTAATCTAATATTTTCTTGGCTCTATACATGATGCTTCACATACTTAAGATATTAACCTATATATACTAATTAAACATCACTATTCCCATTAGTTTGATGATGATGATGAAGTACTCGTTGTTGTTCCTTGAGGCTGCGGTACATCGCTTCTCCTCCTTTTTCGGCATGAATTGACCGGAGCATCATACTTTCCGGCATCCAAAGGAAAATTGAGGACAGCTTTTCTTCCCCTGAGCTTAAAAGCTGCATAGTCATAAGCTCTTGCAGCATCAATATCACTCTCAAAAGTGCCTAACCAAATCCTGGATCCTTTCTTCGCGGGATCTCGAATCTCTGCTGCAAATTTTCCCCATGGCCTCCTTCTCACGCCTCTGTAATGTCTCGTCTCTTCAAACCTCTTTGTTTTTTTCCGGTTTGAGACAGTCTCAACCTCAGGTGATGTTGTTGTTGATGATGATGATGATTCTGCTTCCATTTGCAGAAACTCTTGGACATAGGAATCTGGAACAGGTGAACTAGGTTCCAGTTTAAGAACTGGGTTAAAGGGTTCTAAAGACCAGAGTCCTGAAACAAAAGCAGTATCATCAAAGACAAAATCTTCAATAAAACCATCAGGGATCATCAAGTCTTCAAACAGATGTTTCTGTATAACATCCAGATCAGAGCTTTCCTCAAAAGTCGCCATATTTATCTTACTTTTCTATTGCAGACAAGACAGGAGAAGAAGAAAATCTGCAAGTGGTGTTTGTAGAAAAGTTTTGATCAGTTTGTTGGCTTATATAAAGAAAGGAATCCTAAACATGTGTTAACGCAGCCATGGGTGAGGTGTCACACAAGTCTCTCTCTCTGTCTCTCTGGTTTAACTCTGTGGGTCCAAGTCTTATCCATTAAACATTTATGGAGACAACTTAAGATATTTTGTCAGGACCCTTCAAGTTGTGCCAACTTGATCTTTGTCTATGATGCTGACAAATTTCACTAACATCCATTTGATTCTTCTCTACTTTACCCACGGTTGGGATCCTAAGTTATTTGTCTTAACAAAAAGATGTTTTTTTAATGGTGCTATTTGTCTTAACTAGAATTTTGATTGAGTTGGTTAAGGTCGTAGGTTCATTTGAAATTTTAAATGTAAAACATAAACAAAAACCAAAACCAAAAAGACTTGAACTACTAGTGTTTAAAATTGTAACTTAGTCTTTAAAAGCCAATCTCTTAAAAGTTCTTTTTTTTCCTCTTAAAAGTTTTATGAAAAGATTGATATGTGATTTTCGTAGTAGTAATGACTCACTAGTAGTTAACTCTTAAATATCATAAGATATTTTGCATATTCACATTCGAGTAAAAAGATAAGATATTATGATGTATAATAACTTTCACCCGAATTAAAAGAAGAGACAAATTCATCAAATTGCTTTTCTTGTAGGGTTGTCTTGCTAGGATATGATTAGAAGCAACTTGATATTTCTTTGTTTCTACTTAACTTCGTAGTATAAGGGCTCCACATATATATATAACCAAACCTTACCCTCTTGCTCAGTTGCTTGACAATTATACTCCTAATCTCATAATAATATTAATTAATCCTTCTTAGCTTTTTAATAGCATGTAAGATAATATTAATTATTTACTTTTATATATGGATGCTTTGTAGATAATCTTAGAGCATATGCATCGCCAAAACACATCAGGTGTTCTAAGAGTATTAAATTAATAAAAGGCTTGAACAGTATAAAACAAAGTGGAATTGTGTTCCTCCCCGAGAACTGTTCTTAAGGTGTTCTAAGAGTATTATGAGCACGTGTCTTTTGTGTATTAGTCCTCTTTTTTTCTTCTTTTTTCTTTCTTTTTTTTCTTCTCTCTCTTCTTAATAAAATAATGTTAAGAACACAAATCAGTGTTTCAGCGTTACCGATGCTCTTAGACATTATCCATTTGATTGGTGTGTTCTACTATTGAAATTTTGAAAATCTAGCTCTTCGTTTAGATTTGTATGTATTTTTAACTAATTATTGTATTTTCCTTGCACACTATTTTCATAGCTCCGAGTTACTTTCCTGATCCAATTTTATAATCTTTGACTATTTACGAGATATGACTTACGAGTTACGAAACTGATGACTAATAATGTTTATACAATCAATAAATTTATAACATCAACGAATACAAAATTCAGTTCATATTTTCAACATCCAAATATTCTTCTAAAAAAATTAATGAATAAAATGATTGGTACTAATTAAACTACTTATTTGATATTTGCACACTACCGCTACCTTTATATTATACAAGAATAAATGAAATCATGAGAGTGACGCAAGTGAAAACGTCATCGTCGGTTGACTTTTCCGAAGTTCAAGTGACGGAGATAACGGAGAAGTTGGGAGACGTCGGAGATAACGGAGGAATACTGAAGATCCCATCTCCTGCTCCCACATCCCAAAACCCCATCCAACTTGACGGCGTCAAAGGTACCGCCTCAACCTCAGCCTCCGTCGTCTCCGTCGTATTACTCTCTTCTTCCTCCACTTTAACCCTAACCTTCTCCTTCTCCTCTTCTGGCGGAGAACTCTTAACCCGCTTTCGTTTCCCTAATCCGACGACTCCTTCCTCAAAACAAGTTTCGGACGTTGCCCTAATATCGAGAGGGAAATTCAAGATTGCTTTTCTTCCACGCAATTTGAACGCTGCTTGGTCATAAGCTCTTGCAGCTTCCACGGCTTTGTCGTAAGTTCCAAGCCAAATCCTAGAACCCTTTTTGTTCGGATCCCTAATCTCCGCCGCGTATTTTCCCCACGGTCTTCGTCTAACTCCCCTGTAGTGCATCTCTTCTTCCTCCTCTTTCTCTGTCTTTGTTGAGACCGTTCTTGGGACGGATAGATTCGGTAAGGGCGGTTTACGCTGGTTAAGCGTTGAGTTCGGTTTAAGGGATTGGTTGCTGATGGTTCTAGGGCTTGTTTCTGAGTGAAAGTTGTAAACTTGATTGGTAAAAAGAGATGGGTCAGTTTCCATGGAACCAAAGTCTGTGAGAAGGTGTTGGCTTATGAATTCGATGGCTAAAGCTTCTTGTTTAGTTGCCATCTTCACTCCAAGTTAACTTGATTGACTCTCTTGATCTGTTGTATATGTGTATGTGTGGAAGTGGGAATAAGAGTGACGAGGAATATATAGTGGTAAAAGATAAAGAGAGGGTTCGAGCCTTCGAGGGAGTTTCGAGGATCGGACCGAGAAAGATCATACTACCTTTTCTTGGACTTCTCACTTATTTTCTTTCCCTTTAGATTTCGTCCTTTTTCTTTCTTTTGTCCTTTTGTCTTGTTCCTCTACGTGGACTTTTATCACTTAAAAGTACTTATCAAGTTATCGTGATGGCTTCTTTTAGAATATTTAAAAATGCAGAGAGTTTTAAAGTTTTAGTCTATACACCATGGATTTTAATGTAAGTGGAGTTGTTTGATTGAGATGTATTCAAAATTTAAGGAGTTTAAAGTATTCGGAAAACCTATCAAAATTTTGTTATAGTTATGCCAATTTCAAAATTCTAATGGATATATATATGACTTGCTGTAAATTATAAATTATGAATAAAGAACTAAAGAAGTGACTGACTGAAAGTCATGTAGTATTAATTAAAGAAGAAGAAAAGAAAAGATTAAAAAGAGTGTAGTATTAATGTGGATTGCGTAGACATGCAAGATGCAATGGTACGAAACATAATTAAGATAAGCATAATTTTTTTTTTTTTGGTTTTAATGTTAAATTACAATAAGCATAATTGTATTTGTTTCCTTTACGTAACTTATATGTATTCATATATCAAGAGAAAACGTAAGTAAATAGTATACATGGGTTCTTCAAGTTTCTTAAGCCATTGAAGGAGATGGGTACTTGCAGACAGCCGTACAGCCTTGTTTATTAAGAAAACAGGTCTTCGGTTGTCCGGCACAGCAAAAACACCATTTTTGATTCCAGTGTTTTGCACATTGTACACGCGCACACAGTGCTGGATCTAATTGCATCCCCGCTTCAGAACCTTGTGCCTTTCCAACTATAACAAAAGAGAAAATAGGAGTTGAAACTAACTATAATTGCGATCGTATTGATGATGATGATCATGAGTTATATGCAAAAATGTATATACATACATTCATGTAGAGGAACGAGGGAAATCATGAAGAGGCAAAGGATAGCTAAATGTGATGATGACATTGTTATGAATTATGATAGTCTTCTTAAAAATACAGAAACGTTGTTTGCTATTCGATGGTCGAAATCCTCACAAGGAATAGGGATTTATACAGTATTACACTACTAATCAGTAGTGCACGTCTCTCGTAGGTGATCCACATAAAACGGTTAGATTTTTTTTACTAGTTTTTTTCCTATTCCTTAGTAATAGAATCGTTGTTTATTAACCTTTTCTCTTAAACTTTTTTTTTAACACTAATCAGACCTAAAACCATTAGAAGAATAGTCGATCGATAAGAATAATTGAATAATCATCCATATCAAAGAATGGTTGCAAGAAATTGTTGGAAACTAAAATATAATGGAATATATCTACATATATATTGCAATTAATTCTATATATAAAAAAAAATATACATATTTAATTTTGAATTTGTTTCATCCAAGAAATGAAGTTGAATTCTCTGTATAACAGATACATATCTAACTTTTCAAAAAACAGATGCATTCATTGTACACATGTCTTTTTGGTTGAATATATTTTTACATTCATTCAAAAAAAAAAAAGAAGTTGAATTCTCTGACCATTATGACTGCAGAAGCGACCACTCGTCAACGCCATCGGCCATGGCTAAAATATTAATTATTTTGTTGGATCCACGAAGGAGCTTTACACACCAACTTGCCAAAATTGACGCTTTTGATTTCAATCAATACCTTAGTTTCGTCAATTACAAATTAACCACTAAGTTACATAGCCATAAGGAAAATTACAGACTTTGGCCCATAAGTCCATAACCTTATGGTATTCAAAAAAAAAAAAATACATAACGTCCAAAAGTCAAACTAATTTATCCGGTAACAATTTGAACTTGTAATTTTTATAGCTTCCTGATTCTGTGGTTTCATTTAATTGCAGTCTTTCGTTCGATTCGATCTGTGTCGTTGCAATAATGATCAGATTTTATTTTGCCGGCTAATTAGCTATAGTTGATATATTTGATTTCACCTATTGTGTCGATTTTTGGAACGTAGTAATAACTAACGTTTTCCTTTCTATCAACTTCAAATTTGTGTTTATTACGAAAGAAGAAAAATAAACGAACGGGGCAAACAAAATGTGAACAACTTTAATATATACAAAAAAGATGTGACCTTGGCGTGACGTAGAGCAACTTCACTCACAAAGGTGTCAGTTGCATGCAATGCATGGACAATACTTGCTTCAGACATGTGGCGTACACGTCGATCTCACCACTGGACCCACTCTTTAATACACGATCAGAGTATACGACTTAACAAAATTTATATTACTGCCAAATGCATTTCTTCGGCACGAAAGGCAAACCTCCTCTATATGCCGGTTTAGCCGTTGTGTCCCTCATGATCCTCACTGGTTTAACTTTTGCCGGTACGGCCGTGGCTCTAACCGTTATGATGCCGGTTTTGGTGGTTCTTTGTCCGATTCTCGTACCGGCGGTAATCACTTCGAGTTTCTTGGCAACGGGGTTCTTAGCTTCTGGTAGCCTCGGAGCATCCGGGATCGCCTTCCTCATCTGGCTCTACAAGTAATTACTTAAGTAAAAGTAATTAATTAACTCTTCTAATGCATTGATTGTACCATTTTCTGTTGCATGACAGACATATTTACGGTTGATTTTTATTTTGTTAAATATAGGGATTATTTATACGACATGGACATGCTATACGCTCACGCTATTACTCTATGTCTGTTTTATATATAAATTCATTAATTCCAACATGCAAAACATATTTATACATGTTTGAACGTTCATTGTCATATTCCACAAAGAGAAACATTGTAGAAAAAAAAAAGAGTAGAGCAAGATGATATACTTTAGTGGTTTACCTTAATGACATTGTTGTGTCACCATCTGGTTCCAAGTTCATAATGATAGAATATAGAACATCTGTCAATGTTTTGGCCATTGAAAAATAAATTGTTCATGCATTATTATACGTGACCACATTCGTAATATATGACAATTTTTTATTTGTGGGTTAGTTAAGATTATGTGTATGTGATTGACACTTAGGAAAGAAGAGCATTCCAGAGATACTCTGCATGCGCGAGGAGGTAGGCCTGAAGGGCCTAACAAGCTGGCAGAAAGTGGCAAGCAGTCAGAAGGAGATAATCTGTTGAAGGAAGATAAGCCGCCAGCAAGAGATAAGTTGCCGAGAAAAGACAAGCCATCGAAGGAAGACAATATGCTGAAAGGAGATAAACCGGTAGAGGAGGACAAATTGCGGGGAAAAGATAAGCCGGCGGAGGAAGACAAACCGCCACAAAAAGATAAACCAGCAGAAGAAGATAAGCCGGCGGAGGGAGACAAACCGCCACAAAAAGATAAACCGGCAGAAGGGGATAAGCCGGGTAAAACGGCGGAAGGAGATAAGCCCGCGGAGGAAGACAAACCGCCACAAAAAGATAAATCAGCGGAAGGAGATAAGCCTGTGGATGAATATATGCCTTTGGGAGGACTTAAGCATATGTCAATCCCTGAGCCTGAGATATCAAAGGTGCTATAATAGTGATGTTTAAATTTTTCGTTTATGAATTTTTTTTTTTCACATTTAGCAATTACCGGGAAAAAAAATTGGATTAGCAAAATTAAACAATGTTCTGCTTTAATATTCCCTTCATAAATTAATGGTAGGTTATGGTGGTGGAGCAAAACCCAATTGTCCCCAAGTGTTGCGGCCCAAGTACTTCTACTAAAAGATGTCATCAATTTCGATTCGCCATGGATGCTACTAAAGCACGGTCTATTTTTATGAAAGAATACCAAAAAGTCCCCCGTGTAGGAGCTTTTGCATATAAATACTTTACTTCTCGTGACAAAAAATACGTAAACCAAATTCATATATGACATTTGGGACTTGGAGGTTATTTAAAGGGTACCAACATCATATAAAGAGTCCAAACGAAATTTATCATTTGGAAGGTATTAATACTACTACTAAACTAATGTGTTTTTGTTTTGTCACCAAATAAATTATGCTGCTATTAATGTGTTTTGCAGTCATAAATTTTTTGTTGTGAAGGTGGATGCTCTCAATTTGTCAGATTTACCGTGTTTTATTTTTATTTTAATATGGAAATTGAAATCGAAATCTTAGTAGAAAAAAAAAGAAGCTAATTCGCAGAACCTACTAGATTTTAATTTTTGATCAAACTAATCATACTTTTTGTTTTTTACCAACGTAGATTTTGTAGGATTATGTGTCACACACTGACCGCAATAAACAAATAGTTAAATTTTTAACAAAAAAAGTTTCCCTAAATAAGGAAACGAGGACTTTGTATTCCTATATTGATCCAACTTTCGAAGTATCCAATTGGATCTCAACGCGTTTAGACTGGATCCAAATATCCAAATATATCATAAAGTTATTTTAAAAAATTAAACAGTATATACTATGAATTCTCGCAATATATATGTAAGTTTTCGATGAAATAGAAAATAGGAATAATTGGCTAGAAAATATGAGATATTAACTAATATGGATTAAGATAAAAGTAAGTAAATTCCAACTGCACTAAGATTAGGATTGATAATGATAAAAATATGGGTAACTTAGGAAATAAAATAAAAAAATAAAACTCGAATATACGATTTAATATCTCACCTAAATACCCGGGATTAATATCCAGTACATATTTAGCTGGAAAACAATCTAACGGCTGGTATCTCTAGGAATCCTATCTTAAGAAAATCTTCACCGTTGATTATGATCTTACGCAGATTCTGCTGGATTTTTCCCTTATAATAACTTCGGTAAAAACTTCCAAATAAAAGAAGATAAATAAGGAAAACGCTTTATCTCTCAAGGAAAAAAAAATGTAAAAACACCAAGGACATTCACAAAAAACAGCTCACGCATATCCGGATATATATCGTATATATATAATATCTATAATTACGCACAGAGATTAAGATATAAATACAATTAGCGAGAGATCTCGAGACTCCAATTCTTGTGACGTAGAGAGAGATGGTGAAGGAGACGGTGACGGTGGCGAAGACGTGCTCACACTGTGGCCACAATGGCCATAACGCACGGACTTGTCTTAACGGCGTTAATAAGGGAAGTGTAAAACTGTTCGGCGTTAATATATCTTCTGATCCGATTAGGCCGCCTGAGGTAACGGCGTTAAGGAAGAGTCTTAGTTTGGGAAACCTTGATGCTCTTCTCGCTAACGATGACAGTAACGGTAACGGTGATCCTATCGCCGCCGTTGATGATACCGGTTATCATTCCGATGGTCAGATTCATTCCAAGAAGGGTAAAACTGCTCATGAGAAGAAAAAGGGTAATTTTCTAATCTCAATTTTGATAATCTTAATTTAATGAAATTATAAAGTTAATAACAATAAATCAAATTCAGGGAAGCCATGGACGGAAGAAGAACATCGTAATTTCTTAATCGGTTTAAACAAACTCGGAAAAGGAGATTGGAGAGGAATTGCAAAGAGTTTCGTGACGACAAGAACACCAACACAAGTCGCAAGTCATGCTCAGAAATATTTTATTAGGTTAAACGTTAACGACAAGAGAAAAAGACGTGCTAGTCTCTTTGACATCTCTCTCGAAGATCAGGTTTAATTTTTTTTATTTGCCTTGTTCCTCAAGTAACCCATTAATCGAAGTCAATTGATTTTTTTTTAATTGATTTTCATTGAACAGAAGGAAAAAGAGATGAATTCTCAAGATGCATCAACATCTTCATCAAAGACTCCACCTAAACAACCAATAACCGGAATTCAACAACCGGTGGTACAAGGTCAGACTCATACCGAGATTTCGAACAGGTTTCAGAGTTTATCAATGGAGTATATGCCAATCTACCAAACCGTACCACCTTACTACAACTTTCCACCTCTTATGTTCCATCCAATGTACTATGGCAATCCTGAAGTACCGGTTAGGTTTGTTCATCCTTCTGGTATACCTGTACCAAGGCATATACCGATTGGTATGCCTCAATCTCAGTCGAATGAAGCTTCTAATATGAGAAAGAAAGACGGTTTGGATCTTGATATCGGTTTGCCTCCACCTCCTCCACAAGCTACCGGAGCTACTGACTTGACTGGTCATGGCGTTATTCATGTGAAATGAAATCGCATTCTTCTTTGTTTATCTAAGCATGATATAGGTATATTGCTTTTTTTGGTGTTGAGTTTTATTTGAATATATAGCTCTATATTCAGAAGTTTTGCCAATCGGATTATGTATCATTTTTCTCCAGATTAGATTAAATTAAAATAGATATATTTGGATTTATATTTAGCTGCTTCTTTATTCACCAAAAACAAAACAAAAAAATCATAGTTTTGGTAAAGTTTATTGATTAAAATCAACATTCATTGGGAAAAAGAAAAAGAAAATGGTTTGGTTAACTAGTAAAAACCTTTGATCAATTTCCTTGAAGCTCGTCTGGTCCTATCTGTGAGGTTTGGTTTGTCAGGATCTCCGAGTTCTAAGGTTGCACCCAAGAAACCGGTCTGAGTTCCATCACTGTCGTTGTCGATGTCTCCTTCGATTGTCAATCCTTCAATCTTAGCTGCAATAGATTCTTCTCTCATCCCAACATCCACATCTACAAGAATTGGATTTTATTTATTTTCAGTAAGTTACGAGTACTTCCCTAAAAAAAATATATCAAATTATTATGTCAAAATTAAACATGTTACATAAAAATATTTGGAAACAAATATTCTTATATGTACTACCAAAAGCCGGTGTTTCATTTGGGAACAAATATTCTTGTATACATGTACACGCACCGGAGAAAGAACATTCGAACTCATATATAGTCTTGTTATGAGTTTTAAAGATTAGATCCAGTTTGATCATCTTAATCCCGTCAACAATATGCATGTTTTTTTCTTTCACTGTAAAACCCGGTAGTGATTTAATCAACACAAGCATGTTTTTGGCTCACTAGCTAATTGTATAAAGTAAACCTGGATTTGAGAAGAGCCAAAGTACGAGAGCGCATGCAAGGAGAACAAAAGGTATGATGTGAATAGCGTTTTCTGCGAATTTGGCACGTGACTTCTCCTTCTTAACCATCTCCTCTGGTGGATTATTGTAGGAAGGTAGTTCGTTCTCGTCAAGGGGACCGATCACTGAGCCCATCCACAATCCCTTAGGCGGTGCGGATGAGTAGTCTTCTGGCACTCGGTTCCAGCTCGCGGATCTATACATTTTGATTTATTTTTTTTGGTTTTGATAGGTGTGTTTCAAAACTCAGTAGAAAATACGTTTTTTATGACGTTGATGGTTTTTGAGCTTAATCAGTTTTTTTTTTTTGTTACATTTTTAGTAAGTTGTTAGTCACAGTTTTTGTTTCTTCGAAGAAAAAAATGAATTCCGGATTTAATTGCGAATTTAGAGCCTATGGTTTTGGTACATTTGGATCGAAATAAGGACTTTGTCAAATCGTTCAATGGAATCTCACTCATTTCTTCATTTGAGAGTGACAAAAACAACAATTTATTTAGATTCTTTGTTTTCTTCTTCTATTTCTGTGTCATTTGATCTTATAATAATATGATTTAACCTTGCTTAAAATTTTTAAAACTAATTAATCTAGGTTTTAAGATTTTAAACATTGACAATTTGAGCTGCTTGTTTGTCAACCAAAACTGGTTTCTGAAATTATTGTATCGCTATTCAAAACGCAAACGCAAACGCGAAATTTATTCCGTCATAATTTGGGACAAAATGTTCCGCAGAATCAGCCGACGTTTCCTCTTCACCACTCTCCTCTGTTTCTCTGTTTCGCTCTCTCTACAAAATTTCTCCATGAACATACTTAACAAGCTCGGTATCGGATCAAGTAGACAAACCAACATGAATCTTTCTCCAACCGCTCAAGGTCCCGACGAAGACGCTCCGGCGCCGGGAAACCAGTTTGCTCAATTCGGCGCCGGTTGTTTCTGGAGCGTGGAATTAGCGTACCAGAGAGTTCCAGGAGTGACTCAAACCGAGGTTGGCTATTCTCAAGGGATCACTCACAATCCTTCTTACGAAGATGTTTGTTCAGGTACCACGAATCATGCCGAGATTGTTCGTGTTCAATATGATCCCAAAGAGTGTAGTTATGAGTCGCTGCTTGATTTGTTCTGGTCTAAGCATGATCCTACCACTTTGAATCGCCAGGTAACGGAAACTTTGCTCTTTAGAATGTTTGATTTCGTGAGTTCTAACTTTTAATTTTGGTAATTGAGGGAGATTTCTAGGGTTTTGGTGATTGATGAAGATTTCTAGGGTTTCTAGGGCTTGCTTGAATATTGAGCTCTAAATAGATTGAGATCTAGGGTTTGGAGGATGTAAATACTTTGGATTCGTTTCATGTTTTGTTAGGTATAAATTTAGGTTTGATGTTTGAAGCTGAACAGAGAGACTCATACATCTTCTCTTTGATGTGGATATGAATTTGGTCCTTCTCGTCTTTGTTCATTGAATCATCCTCATGTGTATTTTGGTAGTTTCTTAGAGAGCACTTAACCAGCTCTTTTGCAGATCACATTTTTTGGTTGTTTATCTGCTCGTCCTGCGTTATGTTCGACTTTGTTTCTCTTTTCTAATGGTTACATCTTTAACTGATCAGGGAAACGATGTGGGAACTCAATACCGATCAGGGATATATTTCTACAATCCGGAGCAAGAGAAATTGGCACGCGAGTCACTGGAGCGTCACCAGCAACAAGTGGACAGGAAGGTTGTGACAGAGATCTTACCGGCTAAGAAATTTTACAGAGCTGAGGAACATCACCAGCAATACTTGTCTAAAGGAGGACGGTTTGGTCTCAAGCAATCCACGGCAAAAGGCTGCAAGGACCCAATCCGCTGCTACGGGTAAAAGCCTTGGTTCTAACCAAAAGCAGAGGATGCTTCCACTTATCTATTATAGAGACTATATAGCTGTTGTGTGTAGAGATTGCAATTCTCGTTGAAAATAAAGAAGCTACGGCTACTTATGTAACTTGTTCTTGTTCATAAAACTTAAATAAGTGTTCAATCCTTTAGGTATATAGTATTTGTTTGGATGATCTCGCTTGAATTTGTTCTTGTACGATTAATGACTCTTTAGTGTGTATTTTACTCTGTATCCGTTTTATTTGGTGTTTAATCTTAACATTTAAATGCAGGTTAATTCTTTATATCCGGTACTAATAACACATTTATTTTTTGGATTCTCTTATCTTAAACATTGCGTTAAGGGTGGATAAACCTTTTAAGCTATCAGCCAACTATTGGACGAAGAGATTATACTCCAAAATTTGGAATTGTATGTTTTTTTTTTCTAGATTTAGATTAATGTGGTCTCAACTAATATGAATAGGATAATTATAAGTAAAATAAGCACCGTACAAAGTATAGAAGAATAAAATAATCGAAGGGGAAGTCAAGCAAGTGAAAAAGACAGAAGCGAGAGAGATCTTGTGAAAACAAAAATCTGCTAAGAGAAAATATAAATTAGAATGTTGACAACATGTTGTTCATTATCTCTCTAACGTGAATAGCACGTATTTTAAGTTCAGCCTCGCAATTACGTGGCTTTCTCTCAATCGCATTTCAGATAATTTTAATGCTAACTTAAGATTGAGAGTTCATCGGTTTCGTCCCATTCGTCGAATATAAAGATTATTCTATTAAGATACGATAAAGTTTTATAATTGTAGATGTTTTTTGCGAATTTAATAAACTGCATGTTAAGACTTCAAACAAAGATACTATTATCTTGTTGCAAAATAAATTTGATGATTCACGAACGTCAACTAAAAGAATTTCGTGGAAAAAGAAAAAAGATGTTTCATGAAACATCTAAAACAAAACAATTAGCATATTATCTTAACTAATTGCAATAATTTAAAGTAATTGTTCCTAGTTAGTTTCTATCATTTTTACATCTTGTATCAAGTGTATGAGTTCACTTAAATAATTTATACTATTTTCTTCGACTGGTTAAGATTATCCTGAAATCTATATTTATATACAGACTGATAGACATTCTTGTAAAGTCTAAAAGAAATAGGAATGTGACGAAAACTTAATTAGGGGCTAGTTTGGTGGGTAAACCAACTTAACTCCAAGGAAAAACTAAATCATGAGTTACTATTATTGTATATTCTTTAATTCTCAAACACAACAGATTAATTCTATCCTCCCAACGTCAAAACTCGAGATTTAGAGTTTTATTTTTCTCTTTTAGACACCATATATAAGTTTACTGCAAGCATTTAAAAGGAGCTACATTCATTTTTCTATGGAAAAATTATACGTTTTAGATGGATTGAGTAGTCTCCTTGATCCATCTAAAACGTTTGCTAAAATATAAATTATCCTAAAACCTTACAAATTGTTTCTATTTTTATTGGGTTTTCCCGATTTTGCCTTCTGCTAATTTTGTAAATTTCTATAATTTTCCTTGTTTTAGAAGCTAAGTTAGTTAATCATACTTAAATCACCAGAAGTCGGTTAAATTAATAATAATTTCCCTGGCCCATGGTTTAACCATGAGATGATCATAATCACTATTCACTAGATATTAAATTCAAAACTAAACTTGAGTATCCAAATGAAACTAGAAAATCAAACATAGAATGCGTGATTTGTGAACTACCACATGAGAATGTGTCGTTCTTCTAGTTGAAGAGTTTTCACGTTTACTAGGGAATATATTTACATCCAACTATATTTTTCAAGGATATACATAAAATAAGAGTTTTTATCATTTAGAACAAAGTAAGAAAAAAAAACAATCAGAGAAATAATAATATTGTTTCCAAATTGTTTGTATTTTCAATGATTAGTTTAAAACAAAATTCTAAAATGATACTTGTAATGAAAGGAGTAGTAGAGAATAAAAATTTAATGCATAGTAATAGAATATTCACAATCTTATTTAAAATTCCTTCTATATAACACCAAAATGACAGGCAAAAGACAGGTACAAAAAACAAACCAAAACATGTAATGTGATTGTGATGTAATAAACTCATCAAAAACAGAGCTCTGTTTATCTTTTCTTCCATCAATCGAATGGCTGATCAGATTCAGATCCAGATAATGAACCAAGATCTTGAAGAACCAATGGCTGAGATCATGCCAAGTGTTTTAACGGCAATGTCGTATCTCTTGCAAAGAGTATCGGAGACCAACGACAAGCTGAGCCAGAAACAGAGGATCTCAAGCTTCACTGGACTAACCAAACCTTCCATTTCCATCAGAAGCTATCTCGAGAGGATCTTCAATTACGCGAATTGTAGCTATTCGTGTTACATCGTCGCGTATATATATTTGGATCGGTTCGTGAAGAAGCAGCCATTTTTGCCTATCAATTCCTTTAATGTTCATAGGCTTATAATCACAAGTGTTTTGGTCTCTGCTAAATTCATGGATGACTTGTAAGTAAATAATTCTGAGGTTAATTTATTTGTCGAAATTCACTAATTAGTTAACATTTTGTTTAATAATTTATTTTTTTTGTGTAACAATTTTAGGAGTTACAACAATGGATATTATGCAAAAGTTGGAGGAATAAGCAGAGAAGAAATGAACATGCTTGAGCTTGACTTCTTGTTCGGAATCGGGTTTCAGTTAAACGTCACCGTTTCTACTTTCAATAACTACTGTTGTTTTCTACAAAGAGAGACGGTGATGTTGACGAAGATGAAGTCTCTGTTTCTAGAAACTTCTCTTTCATTCAAAAGCTCTTCTAAGACGAAGCTTCTGATGAATCAACACGAGGAAGACTCTTTATCTACTCATCACAACAAGAAGCAACTCGCTGCTGCTTGATTATATTATGCATTGGGTCGTTATAATCACATTGTTGTGTCATGTAACACCTTTTTTTATATCCGAGGGTTCTTGATTAGTGATGTTATTAGCTTAGAATTTGTGTTGTACATCTAGAGATTGGTTTCTTGAAAGCCTCTTTGTTGAATCGATACAAGTTGAACTAAATGCAAATCTGATATAATATTTGTTTTCTTCAAATGATCAAAACAAGCGTTTGTAAACAAACAAAAACACTAAAAGAGATCACACTTTAAAGACATGCAGACGTTATAAGATACGTCGAGCGCATAATCTATATAAAAAGCATTCAAGACAAAGGGAGATAAGTTACATTTAGGAGGGTACCAAACCTAATAATCTTTAATCTTACAAACACTTATACTCCTCCCAAAATATTTTAGTTGGGAGAAATAACCAAATAAAACATCCTTACGGATGAATCTTACTACCGTGGCTCAAAGCGGCAACTTCACCGTTGGAACCACCACCACCACCACCGCCACCAGACCGGCCATTTCCGCTTCCATAACCATATCCACCACCACGTGCTCCACCACCTCCAGAACCATATCCATATCCGGTACCTGATCCGGATCCGGATCCATAACCGTATCCGGATCCTCTTCCCCATCCTGTTGGTGATCTACCCGAGCCTGATCCGAATCCCCATCCAGATCCTGGAGCAGAGCCCCAACCCCAGTTGTACTCCCAATTGGGCCCACGGCCCGACCCACTTTCGCCGGGATAGTTTTGGCCTGGCATGTTACCCCTCGACCATGCGAACGGACGGGAAACCGAAGTCTTTGCAGTGATTAAAAAGAAAAAAACCAACAATAACCCTTTGATCATTTTCTATTTTTTTTTAGGGTTTTTTTTCTTATGTTTTACTTCAAAATCTTGTTTTGTTATGAAGTTATTGTAAGAAAGCTTCTGCCACCATTTATAGGCAACAACGGTCCGTGACAAGTTGGTTTGATAGTGTGACATGGGCCAGACCACCCACCCTTTGTTAAGTCCAAGCTCGAAACTAAATAAATTTTGTTAGGAAAAAAGATTTAAAAAACCATTATACTTGCATCTCCTATACATGTTGTGAGTTAAAAACTTTTTTTTTTTAAAATATAATTGATTACTTAGACGTAATTTTCAACTGTAAATAAGCACCTAACAATATAATTACAAGTTCAATCATGAAGTCATTAGCTACGAACCCTTTTTTCATAGATACTAATTACCATGACTTAGCGCCCAAAAAAAAAATGACAATGATTATAAGATTATTGTTAATTATAACGATATTGCTAAAAACGAAATGAAATGTAGTCTCTTTATAGTCGGTATTATACAAAAAGTCAGACGAAATGATTAAATATTTGATATTACTGATCTACTTGAGTTTCTTTAAAGTAGAAAACATTATCCTTCAAGAACCCATTTAAGATGCATCTCAACGTCAATCCCACTTAGAAATTTTCTAATTACGGGCCTGTGATCTGCAAATGATGGTGATCATCATCATCATTACAAGGCAAAATACATCTAGAAAACACACGCATATAAACATCAACACCATTGACAGTTGTAGAAAAAAAATCACTAATACATCTTTAAGATTGGTCACGCGGCCGCAAATTCTAAAACTAATCGAAAATGATGAGCAAATCAGGTATATCGTGATTATTTAAAACTATAGAACACATAGAATTAACGAGCATCTTGTCGTCTATATCTAACTCAGTCAGAAACCATTCAAGCTAACATTTGCTATATCAAATTCAAATGGTCTAAACTTGTTAAAGAAATTTGATAAAAACTAGTCTAGTTTGTTCATATATGATTTTATTAGAAAAATATTTTATTTAGAATTGTGATTTATTACATATGTACGAGGTCATCATATGGCCCTACATACATCGTATATGTTTATTTTAGAAAATTTAACGTATATATGAATGATCACAAGTTCACAACATTGAATATTCATAGGTTATTAGAGGTCGGTCGGTGTTTTGTGATGGTCTTTTGATATGATGATAATATTATTTCGCATGTATAACACAGAAAACGTGTGTGCATAGAATGATAGAAACTAGATAGATTTCGATTAAAATCGTATATGCAGAGGCCAAATTTAACAAAGGTATATCAATTTTTGTAAACATTTTCTTTTTGATTTGAACAGCCAATCAAAAAATGATATTTTTTAATTTAATATATGATTGATTAAAAAAATTTGTATGAACCTAGACCCAAAATTTCTTAGTAATTAAAAAAAAAAAGTTTTGTAAGCGGATTCATATTCTTGGACGTACAGAAAGATACTAATAATTTTATCTAGTAATTGGAACACATGTAGTTTTACAATATTATTTGAACAATAATCGATGCATGTTAAGTGACATAATAATTTGTAAATTTAGAAGAGCAATTCCACCTTAATTATATTTGTTCTAGTTTATGTATATTAACGGATTGTGATGTGTGTTTATGTTTGTTTGCAATAACTCTATCGATAATATTGATTCCACAAGATTTACACTATTTTTTGTGTGTTCCTGTAACGATTGAGATCTATAGTGCAAACACGAATGTATGTTTTTTGGCTCTAAGAAATATCTAAAGGATTCTTTTTGGAATGATGGCAACTTTTCACATATTTTCAACGGTGAAGCGGTCCACACGCACAACTTCCTACGGTGGAGCAACTACCATATGTTATGTCTCTTTTAGGATATGATCGAATATTCATATACATAACCTATATTCGTTTATACATACATATACTTCTAAAAGACTACCCCCAAAATTATATCTGAAAGCTCCCAATCCACTATCGTCGAAGTTTTTTAAAATTAAAAACAAAAATTACAATAATGAGTGTCCCTATTTGTTAGTATGTATCACATCGTGTTTCTTATACAACATTCCTCTGTTTAGTTTCTAGAAAATGGATTTACGTAGATATGGATCAATTTTTTTTTTTTTTTTTTTTGATATGGATCAATTGTTATAGTGGAGTTAAACAGATTGGCACATTCCTCTTAATATCGGAGTATAATTTAAAATTTCGATTTGGTCGAGAGCCCAAAGGTTCTACTAGTGTGTTAGCATCAACATTCTGTGACGCTTAAGTAGTGCCACGTGCTGGACCCTTACTAGTCACTACTATTTCCACCCACTTCCTCTATTATTACACACTTAAGTATCAAAATGCATCATTTGATTTTTATGGAAAAGCATCACACATGCATATGTGCTTTGACTATGTATGTCTACGCGTTTCTAACATTATATTGGTAACAAACTACAAATACGTAATAATTATATCATCTTTAGGAAATAATGCCTGACAGATATTTAACAAAATTTGTTGAAGAACATGTTCCATCAGGAAACCAAAAAAAAAAAAAAAAAAAACGCTCCATCAGCTAGATACTAATTGAATGAAGGGACGACATCAATATCCAGTGCAAAGTATCCAAATTTTCTTTGATACGCCAATGGGGACACTAGTAAACCTTTTCAAGGTTAATAGTTGAGGATTATGGTTATTTTGAAAACACATACAAATGTTTAAAATCTATTATATGTAAAATTTTTACCAAAAATATAATATTACAAGTAAAAAAGCTTTTGGGGATTTGTTCATGTATTGGTCTTTTATCTTCCTTTATTTATCCCAATTACACAGTTTTCATTGATATTGATTTCCTCTAAATTATCAATTTCAAAATTGTTTCTTTTCTCAAAATACTCACTGTTTGGGAACAATAAGAGATTACTCCAGCCAATTAACTTCTAATCAAAGATCAGAAGATTGAGTTGCGAAACCTCCTCATATTTTCCAAAACTTCAGAATCCAAAAGATTAAAAAAAAAGAAAATCGTAAAAATATTTTAATTTTGGAAGAAGAGAAATCGTTCAGTTCAGCGGGATTATCGACACGCGCAAAACTTTCCACAAGGAAAAATCCTACATTACGGTCTGTTGAGCTTGAATATTTCCAAGTCATCACCACGAATTCTCTTTCCCAATAAAAATCAACATCATAATAATAATACTAAAAAAATCATAATTGACGAAGAACTTGCAAAAAGGCGATTGCTGATTAACAGTGATGCTGTGGAGATTAGTGGTGACTTTGAGTTTTATATTTATAGGTTAATTAGCCTCCTAGGGTTTCTCCTGACTCCACAGCCTCTGTTTTAAAGCGATCCGTTTGATTGGACCTTTATTGGGCCGAAATATTAAATAGGCCTTCTAAGCAAGAAAAGTGTTTTGAAAACCCACCAAATATTTAATTTAATTTGACGGCCCATCTGTGTATTTAATCATATCTCATGATCTATGTATTTTTTTTTTCTTTTCTTTTTAAAGTTTTCAGGACGTAAAATTCAATTTTTTTTTTTTTTTTGGTAAAATTCATCTTCTCAGATAGTAATCAACACTGACTAGGAATTTGCATTTACTGGTTTCTGATATTGTTATAGATGGTCGTCACGAATTCAAATTTACATGATTAATGTTAAAATATAGTAATCAAAATTCTTTGATCAAACAATAAAAAGGAATCAAAATTCATCATTTCTTTGTCTAATAAGATTATTTATTCATAATTGGGAGATTATTATGTAGTATACCCTATATTTTTTTATTTTTGAAAACACACTCTTTACATTTATTTTATCAAAACCACTCTTTTAATTGTTAAATTACTAATAAAGCATTAACATATGTTGAGTTGATCTTTATTAGATAATTACAAAATTATGTGTGACATTTCTTAAGCTTGATAAGTATGTGAGAAAATAAAAAATAATTCTTTTTCAAAAAATTCTAAATATAGGCTAGTTATTTTTCAAAAACAACCTTTTATAATCTCGGTTTTTATTGTAATTATAAAGGCTGCAGAGGAAAACTACTAGGCTCATGCCAAAAACACCGTGTTTTGGGATACCGAAAACTGCGGTATCCCAAAACATGTTCATCCACATCAAATTAGCGAAAATATTCGTATTTTGTACGGCGCTTGCAGCAACAAACTACCTTAGTCATGTTACTATAAATGCTATAGGTGGCAGCATTACCATGTCCAACATGAGTTTCATTACTTTTGATAACTAATATAATTGACATATTGGTGTACAACTATTTATTTTATTGTCAGCTTGATTTTTTTTTTCTTTTTAATGTTAAGAAAATGAAATACTTAACCAATAATACTAAGATAATTCTTTATTTGATTTTTTTTTGGAAGTGATAATGTAAACTTTGGTAGGTTGTGCTACATTTATGACTTGTTAAAATATTGTAATCAAATTTCATCATTTCTTGTACTAATTGAGAATGTAAATGTAACACCACCTACCAAAGTTTACATTATCACTAACAAATAAAAAAATCAAACTGACAATAAAATAAATAATAGTACGCCAAGTCGCCAATATATCAATTTATATTAGTATGTATTTTAAAAAAAATAAAAAAAAATCTTATGTAATTTTAAAATTGTAAATATTAGGAGAATTGGGCTTCGACCCATCACTTGTAAGGCCACGTTTGGATTTTTCCTTTTTAGTGAAAAATTGTTCAACAAGAAGAAAAAAAAACAAATCCATTACAAAAAAAATTCCAAGTCAGAAACAAAAAAAAAAATTCTGCCACCACAAGTTTTCTCAAAACAATTATTATTTATTTATTTAAATACCTACCAAAAAAGACAAGTGTGAAATCAAATAATTATAAGCACCAATACTAACTCGCCACGTACAAACATCTGTCAAA